AATGCTAAAAATTTCCCAGCTCATGCGGCGGCGAGCATGTTGTTGTCTACCACAATGTGTCAGGAAGATTGCAATAGCAGTCCAAAACACGCCGTTCCATTTATCACTTGCTGAACAGCATGAAGAAATGACACCAGCTTTCGAAAATGTTTCAATTGTTCTGTCCCACTCTGTGGTAAAGTTCAGCTTGGTCATCCTCATTTATACTTTATAGCGGGTGTTGAAGCACATCATATCTGTAAAAAGTGGTATTATTCATTCGTGTCAGGAAAGTTAAGTGCTTTTTATCTACCTCTTCTGTGTGGTCCATAACAGGGGTTGGTTATCGACGGAAAGGACAAAGGTTAGAGCTGGGCTTTTTATAACACATTGTTACAATCAAGATGAATGACTTTGTCAAGCGCTTCATCGACGGTTGTAGCATGAGGAGTCACTTGTGGAAGGTACTATTTCTACTAATGTTATGAGAAAATTAAATTTAAATTAAATTAAATTTAAATTTAAATTTCGATAAAAACTAAATAATATGAAGTATTCATCTTGATTGTTACATATATAGGTTAAAGTGGGGATGTAAAAGAGCAATCCACAACTCCGGTTACCTTTTTCTATGTCTACTCTTTTACAGAAAAAACAGCCGATTTTGCGTTTACACACAAACACGGTCCCACGGATTGATTCACTCCAAGATGAGCAACGCAACATATCAGCCAACCACGTACACATGTTAACCAATACTCCATTTACCTATTGGTCTCTACCTTCAGCAATTTATCTCTTACCTACCTATACACTAATACCGTGGTTTACAATTTTGTACTTCCCATGTCTGGACGGGGCGATGCAACAATTCACGGAGGTGACTAAAACATCATTACCGGAACCGCTAGAGCATCATCTGCGGCAACAGCAGCAGCGTCAGTACCGGCGTCAGCAGCAGCAGGATCAGAATGTACACTAACACAATCACCAGCGACATTTTTCAGAGCAGTAGAATCAGGCAAATGCTGACTTTCTAGATCACTCCGAAAGTAACTAGTCGCCCTTACTAAGCAAATTCGGAACCGAAGATGAAAGCAAACTTGGCAACCGGCACCCATGAGTTTGATTACGACCAGAAAACTGATATGATATTTTTGTCCTGCAACCAGCATCAAGAAGATATTCTCTGAGATGGTGCAGGAGCTAGACGAAGACGTGTTTTTCACAGGAGCTCCTTAACTTCACTTTGAAGGCCACTTTCAAAACTTTGCTCAAATTTTGGGGAAGGAACTTAGTGTTCAATTTATGATATTGAAAATAATATGAAATGATATTTGAAAATTCCCCGGTGCTCACCAGAAAACACCGTAGCTTATATTAAAGGAGTGAGTCAAGGGTGTGAGTGCTTCCAATTAACAAAGATTTTCAACTCAACTGAAAGCTCCGAAATTCGCTTCCAGGTAGACATCTCCATGTAAAGCCCTTATATAGGGGTATCTTTTGATGAAACTGGACATCTTCCGCGGGATTTTCATTCCAGGACTTAATGGCGGGGTGCATTCGCTCAGCAGTCCTAAATACGAATCACAAACACCGTAATCGACTTCATCCCCCAGTGAAATAGACATAGTTGACCGAGTTGCAACTCACCACTTTTCGTCTGATGCTCGTTGAAGTGCGCTTTCAAGTGAGCAGCGGAAATCCTGCGCTTCCTGACAATGGGCATTGGCGTTCCGTTCAATCTCGTCCTTATAGAAGTAATGTGTGTCAGCAATGTAACTCCGTGGATAACAAAGGATCACACAGCAGGCCAACCAAAGAAGTCAAACGTGACGTTGGACCCACAAACTTGGATAGCTGATGATATCGATCCGTTCGGAAAAGCTCCAATATGTGAATAACCTCACCCGCTGAGCAGCAGTTTGTCCACCCAAACGGACAGGATTAATAAGAAAATCAATGGCATGGACATGACAACCCACTAACCCTCATGCGGCTATTAGAAAAACTTGTGGTATTTTAGGTGAGAACATCTGAATTTTCAAAGCAGTCATCCTAACAGTCCTGAGTGATGCCCAAGAAACGGCCTGTATAAACCGAAAGCCAAAGGATTTTTACCATTGGCATCTCTGTTGCATAGTGAGAGTTCGCGAGATCCGAAAACTTTGTCATGATATATCATGCCTAGCCCTTCTCATTTAGTGAAATCTACCGTGGTTCGGGCATCCGGTGTGGGGGAAAGATGCCGAAATCACCGAGCCAACAAATCCTTACATCAAGTCAAGGATGGCGTTGTCACCTAGCAGGACAACTGAAAGTCTGGCTTAGTACGGCTAGGAGCAACAAGAACCATCTCGATATCCATGTGGTCTACAAAATCCTTCACTAGAGCCGACTTCAGATATGTGGATGCCTGGTAACTGAATTCCATGTCTTGGCAGCCAGTCTTCAAGACATTTTAAAGCCAGTCCCAGGAGATAGTCGTCCGAAAGTAAAAACTCGGAGTATACAAGCGGGTCGTCTTCACCGGAGTGAAAGTAACTTATGGGATGACAGTCTAGTGTCTTCATCTGACAAAATCGTGAAAATCGTGAGAACCCAGAGAAATTCTGGCTTATTGGAAACATTACTTTTTGGAGTACTCAATCGACTGGGGTCTATAAAGCTCACCTGTCTCACTGTGGAGTGAAGACCTACTTGACTGACTTGTCAACAGCCATAGAACTGCTGAAGGTCATGGACCAACTGCAATAGGGGAGAGGTGCAAGGCTGAACGACTTGCCTACGGAAGTGTTCGGGCTGAGAAAACCGACAGTAGAAATTCTCCATCTGGTATACAGAATTTGGGGGTTGGAAGATACTCGAAAAAATGTCGAAGATACAGCGACAAGTTTCCCGTATAAGGGGAAAAAAGCATTAACAGATGGTGGACACCTACCGCAGAACCAGCCTTCCATTCGCAGTAGGCAAGATTGTCAGTCGCATCCTAATTAATCGGCCAATCGGTAATATCCTGAAGTACAATGCGGATTTCGTGGCGGTCTGATTAGACTTAAATTCTCTGTTGCAAGACGAATCCAAGAGAAATGTCGTGAGCGGAATCAATCGTTCTCTGGTCTATTTGTGAATTTTGCCAGAACCTACAAGCCGAATAACATGGAGGTACTGTGAATTGTCCAACGAATACTTGGCTGTCCAGACGAAACTATCAACACCCAGAAACTATCAACTATCAGACTCCCAGTGTGATAAAAGCTCGGATGCGCACCTGTCCAACCACTTCAAGTGATTTCTTAAATTGTCATCGGAGTGAAGCAAGGCTGCCTTTTTGTCCAAGCCCTTTTGACTTGCTATTTGAAAACTAAACGTGCACAGCCTGTGGAAGATCTATAGGTTAAAGGCTGGATAGTTAGTTTCCGTTCACCTCCTAGATAAAACGCTGCTGACCGTGTCCAGTACAAGTGTTACTGTTTACAGACGATTACGCATGGTTTTCGCATTCTGAAGAGGAATTACAGCGACTGACTACGGCGTTTTGTCGAAAGGTGTCTCAGTTTGGCATATGTGAATATTTCTAAGACGTTTATCTTCTGTAAGCATGAACCAAGCACCCATTGTAAAGCAGCACGTATTCTACTGACTGATTATGAGAGAGCGTGCTGCACGGATTTCTATCGTGGCAGTACAATACCCACAGACCTGACACTTGATAAGCAAGTAGATCCACAAATAGCAAGAGCCGGTGCAGAACTTTGTCATCTGGAGAAGAGCGGCTACAATACTCAGCACTTGCGAACAGACAAGCTTGCACTAAAGAGGATTGTTATGTTATCTTCAATACTGTGANTACTGACTGATTATGAGAGAGCGTGCTGCACGGATTTCTATCGTGGCAGTACAATACCCACAGACCTGACACTTGATAAGCAAGTAGATCCACAAATAGCAAGAGCCGGTGCAGAACTTTGTCATCTGGAGAAGAGGGTCTACAATACTCACCACTTGCGAACAGACAAGCTTGCACTAAAGAGGATTGTTATGTTATCTTCAATACTGTGAAACTGCAAGGTCTGGAAGACATGTTCGAGAACATCGCTTAATTTCACTAGACTGTCTTTGTAAAATCTTTCGGATCAAACGTGATGATGGGATCTCCGAACCCGGAGTTCATCGAAGAGCAAATGCTGCTGGAGTTGAACGCAGTGTGATGCGGAGCCAGCACTGCTGGTTAGGCCACTTGAAACACGGTGGAAAGTAGTATTCCAAGAAAAATTGTCTACGACCAACCAAACATGGGAATTCAGGAAATCGACTCCCCGAATTCGGCTATTGGAGCAGAAAAGCAAACAGCATTCTGAGTCTTTAGAGGACCTGGCACACGAAAGAGCGATATAAAGAACAGTTACGCAGGCAGGTTTGAGAAGCTTTGAGGTGTGGCGTGTCGCGATGCTGGAAACCGAACGAGCCTTTCGGAAGGGGGTTGAACCCGGTGGTGTAGACCTGAACAAGACGCGGATGAATGTGCCTTGGCAGGGTAATTTTTGTGGGCCACCGGTCCACCTGATAAATGTAATCTGGATTCCATGTAGGTCTTTCCCAATTCCTAACGTCTACCCTCCCCACATTGTCATTATAATGATGACAACAACGCAAGCCGCAGTTTTAGTGAAGCATAGCTAGTCTATCTTTTACCAGCTTTGCGGCGTGTTAATGAGGGAGCATGGCATCATCTACCTTCTGGTATACTGGGGAGGTGGTGTAGTACGGGAAAATAAAATGGGTTGACCGATAACACCGGCATTTTGATGATTAGTGGATAATTACTGCCGGTATCCATTGCCATACCATCACATTTGGACCGGCTGGTTGCTTGCGACAGACCTGTTCATGTACGACAGTCACTCGTGAACGCACCCGAGCTAACATAAGTGTCAAGGGATTGTGCGCACTGGCGCAACGGGCTTGACGCAGACCCTTACATTCAACTATGCCAAAGAAATCCCTCCTCTTAACTTCAGATGAATCCTGATTGGTGTCCCTGCGTCCTCCGTGTAGTCCTTGATTGGTTACTGGTCGTGTTGCGTAAGTTTTGCACTTTGGAATTGGTAATTTAATACTTTCAAACCGACACGTAGTTCATGTAGCCTTCTACCTGTTTAAGGGGATCAAAGTACCGTTGTCGGGTTTTTTCTGTGACGACCACTCAATCAGATATCCCTATTACGATAGCACGATTCCAACGAAAGCTTTGCTGGGTTACGGTTATGGCTTACCACTCGCGTTGGTACCAAATACATTGTGCATGGTTCGCTTTTAACTTCCAATCCAGGTCGTCATTCTTGAGCCTCTATCAGCGCTATATTTGTATTATGCTGTCGGGGCAAAAAATGTTTGGAAAACGGTAAGTTTGTTTTTACCTAATGCCCAGTTATGATATTCAAACTAATCGACAGATGGCCGTTCGTATGTACAACGTGATCACAATCTACATGCTTGCAATCGGCTTAACGCGCGCTGTGACTTGGCTATTCAAAATCACGACCAAAGCTAATCGACCACATTTCCTCGATGTTTGTCAGCCCAATATTACGCTCACCAGCTGCACGGGATTCGTTAATGAATACAGTTGCCAGGGTATGCGTACCAATCTAATGCCTGAAATCAAGTGAGTCACACTTTGTTGAAACTTCAATGATAATCTTTCTCGGTGTTTTTAACAGTGATATCGCATCTAAGCCACCGTTGCGCAGTGTTCACAGGAAAGTTCTGGTCAGTGTGATGTCAGATAAATCGGTACCAAAACAGTGGTCTTCAGTCAATTTGGCGTAAATTTATATTGAATTTAAAGATCAAAATGTCTGTGAATCCCACTGCCGAGTTTATCAGTAAAAACGGGTTCAACCCAATAAATCAGACGCAATGAATGAAGCTAATTATTGGAAGAAGAGGGAATGAGTAACAGGAATATACCACTATACTGCTCATGTACGGTTTGCCGCCAGCGAAAGAGATGATGATAACCAAAATGTTGGTGGTTATGACGTCAATTGTTGTGTTGGCTACTGACATTAGAAATAAAATAGGTTCGAGCGTTATGAAAGCTCCACTGCAATTCCGCCCTCCCAACTCCAATTCGAAAACATAGTTTGATGACAGGTACATACCCTGGAACAAGGACCGGACAGGGAGTTAAATTTCCCTACTGCAACAACATGTACAGAAAAGTAAATCCCATAGAAACACACAGTAGCGTTAAAAGCTAATCCAATTAATAACACAAGCCGAACAGGGACAAATTCCATAAAACTGGACCGAAATTCTCCTAAATTGGATCCACTGCGTAACGTGATCAGCAGTCAAATATTGACAGACGAAGATTTTCCGTAGAGACAGAATAGACCATCATAGATCCTGAATTAGGGCCCCTAAAGTCATCCATCCAGCACCATTGATGTGCATTCTCACTTCATTATTCTCTCACCGTTTAAGAAGTACGTGTACATCGAGATTCCAAAGTAGGGTGGAATTTGGATGTCGCCCAAATGGTGACAAGAAGGGCGTCAAGCACATACGGAAGAGATTTTATATTCAGGTCAGTTTTGCCAACGCATTGTTCTTTCGGGTTCAGTACAAGTAAACTAATTCACTGGGTGTCATCCAACAAGGAAATTTAACCTGTGTGTTATAAAAATAGTGAGAAAGGTGACGAAGCTTAGCAGTTTGTGACCAACCGGCAACATTCTGGAAGGGCTGTGGTGAAGGAATCCCATTCTGTCGAGGAAAGAGATTGTTCTTGCAGTATTGCGATTCATGTACCCCAGTAGCCTGCTTTAATATAACGGAAAGTACATAGTATCCATACAATCTTCCCTGATGGTTTTTTCGAAGGACTAGTTTAAGATCACAATCCTCTCATCATCATCAACATCATCATCATCATCGACAACGTGACATCAGTGTTCAACACCGAGCCTTTCCTACCGTACATCTATAATTTATTTGGAGACCTTATTGTGGGGACAGGGTGGACAAGGAAGAGACTTGGTGATAGCTTATTACAATCATTCCGAGGTGCCTACACCTCCAGACACTCATATTAGGTAATCTGAATAGAAACTGGCAACGAAAATGTCACTGATATTGGTTGGCAACGATATCTTGCAGAGTCTCTAACGAGGTGCAGTGGGGATAACGCAGTCCCCATCCTAGAAGGCGAGTAGCACCGGGAGAACCAAAACGTTTCGTAGTCTCCTTCATACTCCTCTCCCAGGTCAAGGATTAGTCACCTCTCTGCTTCCACCACTCTGAGTTGAGCAAGGAGAACAACACTCTCTTCGGCAAACGATGGTTCGGCACAGGCAATACACGTCCCAACGGATGTAGCTTCTGGTGCTAGACACACTTTTCAGTAGAGGTACCCGTTGCATTGGAAATCCAGAAATACTAGTACTGTGGGTCGCTTACACGTATGGCGTTATTCTACCACTCGACAAAGTGTGAAGATTTGGTCATCGCAACCCCTCCCAGGCCGTAACCCTGCTTCCCGCTCTTGAGCCAGTGTTTCATGAGCCATCATAAACCGACGAAGCGCAAGTGATGCCAACAGTCTCGTTACGACCGGGTTCAAGCTGATTCTCTGCAGTTACCACACTCAGTACGAGCCCCTTTTTTGAAAATGAGCATTATCACCGACTGTTCCCAGTTGTCTGGGAGAAACTTCTTTTCCCAAATGCAAGCAGACAGATCAGACAAGCACTGACTGAGGACTTCAACCCCACCTTTGAACAATACCGGTGGGAGGTCCTCTGGACCAGAAGCTCGGTGGCGCTTGAGAGAACATATGCAGTCGTAAACCTCCGAGGCCGTAATTGGCTCCACTTTCACCATCTAGGGTTCTATGTCAACTGTGGGCTCTGGATGAGTGGCAGCTGGTGGCCACGATAATTGTTGCTCGAAGTATTTGGCCCAACGGTTGGGACGTTCTTCTCTGTTTAAGGTGATTACCCTATTCCTATCCTTGATGGCTTCGTTCACAGGTGGTTTACGGGGACACGTCGCAATTCTATAGGGTGGAGGCCAAATTCACGTTGTGACAGGTCCACAGAAAGTTAGAATAGGCTCGTGGTATTGTGCTGACAACTCATCATCTGAACCAGCCACTATCTAATGCTGGTCATCAGTTGACTTTTCTTCGGCATTCATTTGGAAGATAAAAGGGACCCTTCAATGGAAGACAACTCTCATCTCTTTTATTATATTCTCCTCGACTCCAGTTACTTAACTCTGCTGTACGTCAGCTAGGCATTTACGAAAATTGTATGTTTCAGATGATAACGTAGGTGATGAAAATGATGGTTGTGAAAGGGATCTGCCGACGCATTTTACATTCGTGTAAACTTAGTCATCTATGTAGTCATCGACAGCTTCAGAGGCTGAAGCGCGGTGTTGATATTGACGCTACAATATCGTACAAATTTAATTATATTTAGATTCCTAACTTGTAATAACAAAAGAACAAAGAGAGATGAGACTTGATGCTTGCCAATCTGAGGCAAACCAAGATGGCCGAAACCCCAGAAACAATCAACGAGTCTGAAAGCAAACCGGTAGCACGAACGTCACTCATGTAGATTAGCCGCTACTTCTTGCAGCGTCTCCAGCCAAGCGTGAATGGATGAAGGAGGTCCCATCCAGCAAAATCCTAAATCATCTTAGCCTTCATAGCCTCTCCAACACTTGCCAAATCACTCCTGGTCCACCTCCCCTTTGCGTTATTCTGGAGAAGGCACGGAGGAAATACCCGTCTCGGTAGACTATGAATCGGCATCAGTGTCACGACGTCCAGCGACCGCAACTGATAGTGTCGGATATTTTTCGCCACAGAAGTTCCTGTTCGACAGCAAAGATTAGTATGATAACTAGTGTTCTGATGAGGTTATGAAAGCGCATTTCATAAGTCTCCTTCCCCCTTTCAACTTCTTCTGCCTGATTCATTGTAAGCATCCTTTACTCTCATTAACTCAATGTGAATGCCTCCACCTCTCCTGTACTCTTGCAGAGTGTCAAGTCAATTTAACTCACAAAGACAGTCTTGAATAAAATTATCGCTTCATTTTACAAGGCTGGTTTCAAATACCTACCTTGATTGCAGATATTTAATTTCACGCGTTCCTTACTTGCGTCATATGTGCACACTTCTGTAACTCACGGATACGATTCATGTCAATGTGTTTAGTGAAATATCTGTGAGCACCGTCTGTATACACATGAGGGCCATATGTTCAACGTCAATTAATGCCGAGTCCTTAGCTTCCGAATTTTAATGACGTACCAAAATACTTACTGCGAATTGATCGGAGTTGTCTTACTCTCACTAGCAAGGGAAAGGATCCTCCATCAAGAAGTAGAACTGAAATTTGAACTCAAAGCTCACTTGAAAGTCATTTTGATCTATTCAAGTGGTTTTTGTATAGTGTTGCTCGCCGCTCAACACAGCTTTATATAAAAAGAACCCATGATAATCTGCAGGACAGGAAAGCGGACCTCCCTCCACGACTACCCGTAATGTTTGGCACAGTTTTTTTTGAAAATATCGGTATTTGCCGTATGCTACAGATAGGACACTTCGCATTAGGGTTAGTCCACCTCTACGTAACGGAAGCCCTAAAGCGTGCTTCTTGAACTTTCTGTTGAACTTCCGATTCCGGGGAAAGTTACTCGATCCCTTGGAACACGGGCCAGTTCCCGCTACTAGTGTAACGTTGATACTACTGATAGGGAGGCACTCGAGTAGTATGTTTGGTTCGTAGAATTTCGCTTTGCGTCTATTGCAAAAGGGAGATCTGTTGCGGAATTCGTGGAGCCGCTTTGTAACATTTGCTTGGATTTGACCGACGAATGAGTGGAGTCAATGAATCTCCAGAAAAGTTCAAGAAGACTCGTTCGGAAGAAGATAGATGTCCAGTTTTTGTAACTAAGATGCAAATTAGAGTTTTGCTTCCCTGTTCAGTGGTCTGTATCCGGTCAATTGGCATTTCCTAATAAATATCCCCGCGGCGAAGGCCTTCCTTTCACTGGTTTCGATCCCCTCTCTGAATGTAATCCACAAATTCAGAAACTTTGGTTAGTTAACGTGTGTCCATGCGTGTTTGCCTCTCTGATGGTTACCCGGTAAAGTTTGGACGTCTCCAATGTGGTGTTTTCTGTCGATTTTTTTGGTGTAGTCGTTTGGTGTGCTCTAAACTGCGTAGTGTGGAAACGAAATACCGACCAGACCAGCCTACAGATACATTAAATATTCTGCTGTTTTGATTTTTGTATAAGGTTACTGTAACTCCCATTTCTCACGATATTGGCCGGTTCGGAACTGTCTGCACACTAGGGTTTGATGTGATAATTACACCGGGTTCGGTGCTGTTTGGGAATTCATTTTGAGCACCAAAGAAGATGACAACCTGTACCTCGGATTTTAGCCTGTGGAATGTGTGGATGAGATTTACATCACCACGGGATAGTCCATATCCGTAAATAAGGCGGGTGCCGGGTGAGTATATATAAACAAGATTTCAGAATGCATGGGAAAAATAGCTCTGGAGTTCCACCAAAACAAACAACCGAAAAACCACTTGGAAACGAGGAGAGGAAATTTTCCAAAGTTTCGGCCCAGAAGTGCTCTGCAGAAGATGGGTTTTATTCCAGGGAAACTGTGAGACTATTATATAACCACTGACCAGTACGCAGGACTTGAGAACTAACAAGCGATGGACTTGGCATTGGATCTTTTGTAGCAAAATTTTGATGAGATTCCAAAAACCCGAATCATGTTCGGTGTTTCGTTTGCAGTCGATTCCATCAGTATCTACCCAACATGTCCTAGTAAGGGACAATCTTCCCTGAGACTGATCTTTTCAGCATCCTTTCACGATCCCAGTTCAACGGTATGAAACAGTAGTATGTAACATTTCGCAGGCACTCGGAAATTACTGTTTACGAAACAAGATGGATGAGAATTTATTTTCTGGATTTTTGACAGACGAGTGCAGTCAGTCAAAGTCGGTGTCACGAAGTATACTGAAGTGATGGGGTGAGGAGGAAGACGGGATTACACGATGACTATCTACGAGAGCATGCTATTAGGCACCCGTAGCTGGTTAGCGCAACATGAAGCTAACACGCCAATCTGTGATGTGCACTAGTTTGCTAACAACAATAGACTTACTATTTTTTGAGCGAACATTCCTCTCTTTTTCGCCTGGCCCCCACAAGGTTAGAAAGCCCCGAAGAAAACATTACATTTGGACAGTCCCACCAAATATTCTGTTCAGAACAGGGCAGTTTTAGTATTTGGAAACTCCGGATTCGGGCCTATTTATTACAGCTTGTTCGTTTGAATATCCAACCAAATTTAATTCACATGAAGTGCCGAGTTTTTCTAGACCTTACAGAACTGTAATCATTTCCTTTAAAATCTGTGTAACCCTTTACTTTGATTCAGAAAAAATTACTTAAAATTTTCAGTAATCTTTCTGTAGTCTTTTTATTGGTGATTTGATTCCTTCCCACCCTTTAGTTGTGACTTAAATAAAATAGTAAGCGAGTCGTATCTACTAAGCACTATGCCATTTACCGCAGAAAATTGCTCTCAGTTTGTGGCTTTTTCCAAATCTTCACAGCGTCTCCTTCGTCTCCGGACATTCATCGGTCACAGCAGTTGCAGTAATGTTTATAGTGGTGAGTTTTGCAGCCAAACTACAACTAATTTTATTTGACGCCAACTTAATTTATCCTCTGTATGAAGCATAAAAGTGAAATGAACTGACAAAACACAGTACTTCTAACTACGATCCCTCGAGGAATTTCGTAGGAACAACATGATGGTTACTATTAGAATCACTCTAAATGGCAGGAAACTGAAATCAAACCTGACCGTGAACTCGAATACATGTGGTCCACTGTTTATTTTTGCAATTTGTATCAAGTAGGCCTTGAAATCGTCCAAATAACCTACGAGAGATTCAGCCAGCATTTCTTAAGGCCTCTCATTAAAGCCGAGTTAACTTGCAAATGAGTGTATTTAGCAAAGTTCGTGCAATTCCGGTTTATTTAGAACATCGAGTTGATGGAAACTCTGGAACTGCGCCAACCCGATAATTCCAAAATAAGGAAGAAAGTGGTCGTGGGCTGTGGAGAAATTTTCAGCTACCTAATGTGTACTGTTATGACAAGAAACCTACAGACTACTTCTGCGACTGTGGGTTTTTCTGCACGTTACGTTAGGAGACAAACGCCGCCACTTTGCTAAGGTGATTACTAAATTGCTCTGCATAACTAGCAAAAGATGTTCTGTGACCTTGTGACCTTGTTGATTTGATTTTGGTGTTTCAGTTGACCTCGGTCTATATTATCCAGGTTCACAGGCTCAGTAACCAAATGATGTGGATATCCAGTCAAGCCAGTACATTGGTTTCATTGTAGAGATAACAGTAAGGAGAACCGATTAAAAATTTTATTCCTTGATCGTATTTCTCCCCAAATAGATTTTGTTATGCATAAACAAGAATAAGCTTGGTTTGCTTGCGGCAGTCTTTCACAGTTTGTAGTCTCCTTTTGTGTTGTTTGTGAACCTCAACGACCTCATCTGAATTATTTCCAAAGTGTGATCCAAAAGATCACAAACATTGGTACTCAGTGCCATTGAAGAAATACACTTTCATTCAGGTTAATCTACTACATCCTTCCTGGCGTCGCCCTCTCAAAACTCGCGACCTACGGGTCTGCACGGCCAACCCAAATACTAAGTTGGTGGATCCAATCCAATTTGTTGTGACGTGGTTAGTCAGCAACCACAATCATGGGATTATACGACTTTAGTGTCTTTTTCGGCACTGTTGTTTTCGTATAGCTCGCTTTGTAGAATTACTTGGATTACGCCATCAAGCTCATATAATCGCCGCTTGATATTCTAACGTTTATCAGTTTATTAGTGTTCAGCATCAGTTCTCCTTCAGACATATCATTTGTGAGTGAACAATGCTCAAGAGTCGCTTGTTTCGGTGGTTAACTGAGTAAAGCAATTTATGCCGATTTATCTGGGGACGTTTTCAACAGCAGCCTCCACTACCAAGCAAAGTTTATTCTCTAGTGCCAGGGAGCTGGTGTGGTGTAATTAAACTGGTTGGATTGCGAATGTATACATTATCTTTTGGTCGTTGTTAGTCGTCGCTATTCGTTGTTGGTCATTTTTAGTAGCCCCAAAGTTAAAAGTACCATGTCAGTCTTATTTTAGATCTATCTGATTCTCTATGCATTACACGTATCACCAGGAAATTATTTATCAGTACGATTTGACTGATATGTTTACCTCATGCTATGGATCGTTTGTTTACTTGGCTCTCCTCTTTTTGCGACCAGCTGTACCTCCAAGAGCGTCTTCAGTTGAGCTGTGCTCCACTGCTTCGTCCGATGCTCCAGACTGCCATTGTTTCTTTTGGATTATATGTGGTCATCAGCCGCTATACGGATAAAAAGCATCACGTATCAGACATAATAGCTGGAACACTTGTCGGTGCAGGGAGCGCCACGGCTTTGGTAAGCTCTAACCAGACACCACATATTTTCCTAATGCTGGCGGACTAGAAAAAACTTGCTACCCGAGATGCAATTCCGTAGAATATGAGATGAATGGCACTCAGACAAACCTGCGCTGCGCTATACATTATGGACTGGTTGGGCAGTTATCATGTGAGACGGTAGAATGCTTATGGATGTAATCTGTCACCTATAGTTAAATACTGGAATTCAAATGTATGTTCTTCCATATGTTACACAATACGTGGTATATAAAATGACCGTTACATCGCGCCTCATATTCGAATTCGGTAGTACATGTCAGCATTAGGTGTGAACCCGAGTTTGATCGTTACTAATCACATTGTCCGTAAAGAAATCTGCGTCAATTGTGGGAAATGAGGAATATAAAACCAGTAGTTAAAGACGATCTCGGGTTGGAATGCATATGGAGCCCGACGAAAGCCTCAAATTAAGGGCACATATCTCTAATCCATGTCGAGCGAAAGAAAAGTGGGCCATTTTGCTCTAAAAAACTGTGTCCATTTTAGCAGAATTTGTTATTTAACTTCTCTGCTGCGGGTTACCTGCAACTTGCTCACTTAGGTTTGATCCGAATGGACACTACCAACTTGAAACCGGCAATGAAAACGAAACAAATTATTTCTAATGAAACATCAGTGGCCAATCTAGAATTATGGTTCAACTCTGGTCCTCGTTTCAGTATGAGCAGGCCTTTCATACCCGAAAGACGCTGGGCATACAGAACGTCATGCTAGTTTGTTCCTTTGTCGTACCTTTTATTTTCAGTAAATAGGTTGATTATCACTCACTGCATTATTCGAGATTTTCTGGATAATAATCTTCTGAATCCATTAAATGTTGCACAAAACATAAAATTAGACAATGAATCTCACGTCCTATTTTTCTATTCAGTTCATCGGATACTCCCCAACCATGAAGGAACTCGCCCCGTGGAGATGGTCCGAATAAAAATCTAACCTCTATCTGTTGGCCTAACATTTGACAGTTTAGCGTTAACTAATCCTAATCATTCTCTCCTCGCTAGTAAATGTGCTTACTTATTTGTCAAGACTGCTTTCTTTGTGGCTGGGCCGTTGTAAAGATAACAAATTTATCAAAAGCTAGCGTCCTTCCTACCAACTCGGCCCCAACCAAATCACTGAAAACCTTGAGCTAAGTAGTCTTTATGGACATTCGACGGTGTTCATGTCAATTTGCATGTCGAATCATGAGTTCTTGCACAATCACGCTCACGTGTTTTGGAAACTGCATCTGATGTGCTTACTGTTGAAGGTGATACATTCTAGTTGAAAGCTGAATGAGTCTCAAGGTGGTCTCAATTACGGCGTGTTCAGCACGCGCAATTTGAAAATTTTCTATTTTTTGGTATGATAACTGGGAATAGGGTACATTGACCTCAGGATTCTGGTCCACTGCTTTCCAAGTTTTGTGTTCAGTAGGAAGTACTGGCTCTAACTGTAAATCCAACAAGCTAATCATACTGATCACCGGCCACTCTTAGCCAAACGGCTAAGTGTTTGACCACTGGCCAGGCTGCTGCTGCTTCGTAACTTACTGAGTTTCGTCAGATGCACTGCTGATGATTTCCAATAAGGCAGAAACAGCTGTACAGTGCTTCTCGACTTTCATCATTGATTAACTTCAGTGACACAATGAATTACCTTCTGAATATGATAAAATCACCTAACATTACAAGGTAATAAGGGTTTGTCAGCGAAAAAGAGAAGGCAAGAAAACATCCTGGGTCTGTGCCATTCGCACAACCGTTGTTGAGTTTTGTTTATGGTCGCACAGATGTTCTGAATAAACAGGCAAATCGAACCGGAAAATTAGTATTGTGGTAACACCCCCCAACAAGTCAGACCCTCCTTACAGGTACTATCTTCTTTTATGCGGTCGTCGGGCTGCACACCTTAGTGATAAGGCTCTTTGTCCTTTAAATATACCAAACTTCTCAAGCAAAAATGCAGTTTTATGGAATCTGAGAATTTGGGATAAAGTGGGAATACTGCAGCTCGAATTCGTAGGCCGAATTTTTCATAAAAGTTTCACCCAACATGGTATCATGTCATCAATTAATGCATTCAATTTCTTACGATGTGAGAGTTCTTAATTGAAACTTGAATTGCGGCACTCGCCTAAACAGATTCTGAGAAGCACATAGGAAGAAAATTTGCGGGATTTTTCTAGTTTTCTAGTTTTTTCTATTTTCTTATTTTTGAGGGAGAACTCATGAAATGCAGACACAGACGCCAAGGTATAAATGACTGGATGATGAACACAACACTAGTTAGCTAAATAACACTAAACCATGTAGCTATTTTGATGGGAGGTGTAAGAGAAAGGAAAACAACAACAATCATGGTCAACAGCATTTTGTGGCGATCAGATGCGTGGCGGACTGAAGGCCGGACACTTGGTGTTCCAGTCCAGGATGAGTTGCGCGTTTTGGTAGATCCCATCGTAACAAACTGAAAGAAATTCGGAACTGGATGAATGAGATCACCAACTAAATAACAGAGGCTTCAACGAAAAATAACCATTTAGCAGCGGTCATCAATCAATCACTGCATTACTAGACATAAAAGCATACACGACTGTGCTACATCACCTCTTATAAATCAACTACTAAACTACTGGAGCAAATTAAACGGAAGAAAATTCTCAAGTAAAAAATCTCTCTAGGCGATATGTGATGGTCTAAGTTTGCCGCGATTGAGATGCAATTCAATTGTGGTACAAACCAAACAGTGTCTGATCAAAATGTTCACGCAGTTCGCGTATTTATCAAAAGATATAGAAAATTTTTCTAAAAGAAACTACCCACAAGGTTGCTGAAAACTCTTTGACAGCCCACGAGCCGTTTCGCCCTTCTTGGGGCTCATCAGTTAGGCGCAGTCCCCAAGTTTCTGTCACCCTTATGATCTACTTGAACCCAAATTACACTGTTTTTGAGAAATACACTCATTTGCAGATCAAATCAATTTGGACGGGAGACTCAATTGAATCTCTCGAAAATTTCTCAAAAAGATATAAAAATTCTTCTCCAACACATCGAACGTCAGGAAGGTCAGGGATAGATTGTGCCAATAAATGTGGACGTAGAGGAATTTCATCGTTAGATCTGATCTATTCATTCTACAGGAGTGTAAACACAGAGAATAACCCACATACAGCCATGTTCAGAAGAAGAGACAATACGGTCTAGATTCTGATTAAAATACCATGTGCCACTTCACAAAATATTCTTCGCCATTAATTTATCGTTATTAACTGTCAACAGCCTGCCTAGTCGCCCATTTACGAGCGCTCAAACTAAGGCTTCAAATCCAGGGATGAAATTCAAGCGGTCGATTTCAAACTGAAGACCTGATTCGCTCGCTGAAAGATATTGAACTGTCGTCTGATGAGAAGGATATTTGGTGGTGTGTTGAAATATTGGTAGCTCGATGAACAGATTAACAGCCACCTGATCAACAACCGAGAAAGCTGTATGTTGAAGACATAAGCATGACACGATAACGATGTGGTCGGAGTTAGAAAATCGAAACCGATGAATGGTTTTATATTTCTAGGGCAGGTCAGTGGGATTGTTGGCACTGAATAAATATTCATTAGCCTTCGTTGGAAAGACGCGCTACCAATTACAAGCGGCAGACAGAATCACTTCACCAACCTTTTAATCACCTACCGCCAGAAAACCGCTGAGTGAATTCGTGTGCGGTTTCAACAGAATTAAACATAAACCCAGTCTTCATAAATGACATCTTCATTGGCAGATACATGGTATACCCTAAGAAACCCATCATCCTAGGCGATAAAACTGACTGCGTACGCGAAATCTGTTGTGGGAACCGAATGTCTACGTACACAGAGCAGACGAGCAGACACTTAGAAATGCGCTTTGAAAACAATCAAAATTCTCCACGTTTTCTTTTACCAAAACCTTCCCACGAGAATGCACGCAGAATGCTGCTGTGAGGATGACAGTTAATAAAGAACTTATCTGAACAAGTCGAAACGACAATCAGTTCTTGTCCATTGTTTGAGCGGAAAGTAAATTCACCAGATACTTTATGGTCTCGACTTTAAATCACATTAATCAGGCTGACGGCATACCAAGAAGTAACAGTTAATCTACCGATTGTCATCAAACTTTTCGAAAACGATAACAGTCACTCTCATCTTGTGAACTGGAGGCCCAGTTATTAAAGACTGTTCTTAACACTGATTATTTTCTATCAACCCTTAACTTCGTTTGTCACATGCATACAAAGTGTAGACACAGCCCCTTAACTCACTGTTCCAGCTCCCGCCTGTATAAGCCGTGCAAGCTGCTCCATTTGTTGCCGCATCAAATCTGCCAGGAATTATTGACCAAGGAATTGCAGTCGCATTGACGGAACTAGTAGCTGTATTCACTTGGATTTGATAAGCAGAAAGGTTGATGACTGTCCACTTTTTGCCCAGATTGGAACTTTGTACGAGACTTTGTCCGTCCGAACCGATGGCAAACAGGATACCCTCAGTTGGCAGATAGGTCAGCACCTGTGATGCAGACGGCCCCAAATCTGAAAATACAATGGTTTGACACGTTAAACACATCATTTTCCGGACGAAGAGTCAACAATTTGAAGAGTTTATTCTTCCCGTAGGCTTTTTGTGGGATAAAAAACACCTTACGTGGCGTAACTGTACAACCTTGGTGTCAGGTAATGAGAGCTTTTTAGTAACCAGTGCAAGTATAAATGGCCGGTGAAAGTGCGATCTAAAAAAATATTTTATTATTATTATGCAGCCATCCGATTACCAGAAAAAACATTCCAACCAATCCCCCAAAACCCCAGTGCACATGATGCGTCTTACTGGGCTGCATCTGGACTGTACTTACGCAGTGTAGCCTGTCTAAAATGTAACAGAACAGACACTGACGCAGAATAAGTTTTGGAAATCATCATACTTATCAGCTTGAAGACAACGAACCATCCTAAGTCCGTGCGATGGGCTGCTGGATACTGTTGAGTATGCCAACCCTCATTTCTCCGTAGGTGTATGGAGAATAGTTCACACTTGAAAGAATCTGGGCTGGAAATCGAATGTTTGATACTGCAACTCGTCCTTGGGATCCGATATTTATCATGTTGGAAATTACTGTTCATGTAAGGGTCGGAAGTGTCCGAAAGAAACGTCTGATCGATGAAAACTGCGGTAGTTGCCTACGATCAACGGAGTTGATCAGAACTTTCAAGACAGTGAAGATAGAGGTTTCTGGGTGTTGAAATTAATGTCACCGTATCACCTCTAGGCAGAAATGCTTTATGTATCCTCTCCCTCTGACAGAGCAAAACCAAACTTTGTTCCCCCGAATTTGAGCCGTCCTAAGCAGGGTGAAATCAAAGAGAGCCCTGAATTAGACAGAAACCAGGCTAATAACGGTATTTGAGTACTCTTAAAAATACGGAACATTTTTTCTTCCCCTCATACCGAAGGCACATCTACTTCACTCTAAAACTCACGTTAAATTTTTCGGTCGGATTATCGGAGCTCTTCCGTTCCATTCAGAAAGGATCGGATTTAATCCGAGAGACCGTGAAGACTTTTTGAAATTCAGGATCGATGTTCAATTCTTCAGTCACCATTCTGATAGGCAATTTATGCTTGGGTTCCATTAAACTCTAAGCACAATTGCCAGAAAATACGTTAAGACGGCCAGTTAAACTACTGTTTAAAATGCATTCCTGTTTTCCTGACAGAATTTCTGTTTTACCGACTGACTTGCTAATAATAGCCATTCTCTAGACTTCCGATTGAGTTAGGTTATACAAGGGATGACTGCTTCCGTTGGCTTCCTGGCGTGTTTTTATTGACCAGAGCTTTTTGTATTTCCATCAGCTATTCCCTATTTAATGGGCTGCATTCACTATTTATATACACGAACCTTCTGGCATTATCTGGGATCACTAAACTCGATAATACACCGTGTTCTTTTGTTGCCATTTGTTGATTTGGATTCATTAGTCACCAATTGGCGGCCTCAGGTTAGTACTGATCTGCTATGGGACCTTTCCGGAGTTAATCCGTTCACGTACCTTTTGTTGACTTACGAAGTCCCGGACTAAAGTCAGACAAGCGTGCATAATGTCACGATTGAACTCAATCTGCATTCCTCAAAAGAACGATCGTAGTTGTCTTCGATGGCTAATGGCGAAGTGATCTCCTCGGATTCATGGCTGATGTGTACTTGATGATTGCCACGTTCGACACCTTTTGCTGTTCAGAGGCGTATAACTAATTTGAGTCTTGTATGCATGTCTCAGTAACACAACGCAAGTTGACAATGAGAGGACAAGAGGCTTAGGAGATCATTACCTATCGGCCAATTGGGCAAACCGCATGTACGTTAGAAACTCCAAGGTACAAATAATCTGGATTTACTAACGTGTTACTCTGACTGATTTCTTCGGAGGGCGGATTGACTAAAAGACCAATATAAATGGCAATCAAGTGGTCGGATATCTGCTTGTGAGGTGAGGTCGAACTATGTGGGGACAGTGGTGAACAAGAGGCCGTGATACTAAATGGTATTTACCGGCCTTTATCAGATCCAGGGAGAACTTTTGTTTGCAATGCCGCTTTTATCCCTCAGCTTCCATTTCTGACCTTCAGTATACGGTGATGATGTAGAGCTCTGTCCGCTGACTCCCCACAGGTTGTGACTGTCCGCCACGGAGAGGCAGGGACTCAGTCCGAATCTGACGACGGGCCTAATCACAGGGGGCATGGGACAAGATAAGGGTACCTAATCCCTGGTACTGCTGCCAACATGAAGTATTTTTACAGCCGCAGGCGACTAATTGCAACCGTTAGTTGTTTTTAACCAAATAGTCTCATCCGATTAAAAAAAGATGAGGTATTTGGAGAATGCCGCTTGTAAGGTTAAACTTTTCGAATCTCTTATTTGCATGGGTAAGGCAGCACTTTTGCTTCCATAAGTACAAAAATGCTGGCAGAAAACACCTTAGTGCTTTTGTGGTGCTATCACAGTAGACGGATAGTGCTGTAACACTATTATCTACAGCAAGGGACTCGCTGCTCTTTTCCCGGCAACTCCTCTTTGGTCTGCTAAGCATGATCGCGTCTTCGGGAAAAAGGTTCCCGCTGGAGTGGTCTGCAAGACCATTTCGGCATTTGAGCCCGACCAGTAAATCAGGGTAGCGTCTCAATGTGAAGCATGCACTCAGTCGATAGCTTAAGTTCCTACTTGAGTATCCCGTAGCATCAATTAAAAATGGTTGCGGTGTTTCAAATTACATCTTTTACTTATCTTCGTGTCTCATTCCCTCAGGACTTTAGCAGGTAAAGGGCTTAGCACAGGAGGTATCTGCCGTTATGCCGTTATGCATTAGATACGTTTGACTAAATAGTAGCTGTGGGAACAGACCACAGGGAACGACAAGTTACCTCCCAATCTAGGTTGGCAGACTGGTTATTCACGAACGATACAAAAAATGCCTTGTGTAGCCCTTCGTGAAAATGCGAACATGCATTCAAATGCAATCATGGTAACTTACACATAGCGAGCGGATGTTAGGGGGTCAGTTGAGTAAATGAACTGTTTTGTGGTTGGCAAGATGTGCAAAGATGAGAAAAAATATCTGGTTAGGATAAATCATCAGCAAAAGTCAACGGATAACGAAAACTATCAGAATCCCCTAAAAAGACCTTTGGTTTTGAGGCCACTACTCTAACAAATTCCACAAAACTGTATTAAAAAACTTACCAAACCATTTAATCGGCTGTTCGTTACTCGCACGATAACAGCGTTTTCGCCTGCTGAATGTTACGAATGGATCCAGAATCAAATCGCAAAAGAATAATTGCTCATTAGCGTAAAGGAACACTCGGGGCTCAATCGTGAAAGGTGCAGGCAGAAATCCATCCTTCGGAGCAAGGCTGTAGTGGGTCATACTGCATGGATCTGAAGCGGGGACAGACATCGAACGGCACAACTTCGGTAGGGATTCGTGTACATAATGGGTGCTTTTCAATCTTTTTCCATGTTTTCGGTCGTCATCTAAATTTATTGATAAAACTCACGCAGGACACATCCAAAAATTCACTTATTCGTAAATAAGAATTACCGTTGCTCTGAATTGGGTGATAGTAAGCTGCTGAGAATCACTGATCAAGTCGATCAAGTAGCTCGCTGGGGACCAGTATGACAAACCCTTTACTCATCAACAGCAGAACCAGTAGGTAAGAAAAGAGTCGGTTATTCTGACTGCTTTAAAATCTTTCATTTTAGGATCTTGACACCATTAAAGTTTTGTCCTGGTCTCATCGAATAGCTCAATCACGTCATTTTTGGTAGGAATGCAGTCTTTCGAACCATCCAAAACAACAACAAAATTTGAGAATCACCAAGTGCTGATCTGGGGGTCTCGCCTACAATGAGCTTCATAACTGTAGTTCCACGGACGTCGCTTGTCAGAAACTGTGGAGCATTAATAAGACATCACGAACCAATCTTGCAGCTAGCGGCAAGAGGCGAAGAAAAATACAACACCCATTCGAAATACGGCGCCAAAAGTACGGGGATGGCACACCATCGAGGCCTCAGTTGTGATTGCTTCACGGACAGAAACTCCGTTCAAAATTAACACTGATTTCTCATTTGCCTGTCAGACTGGTGGCCATAAAAAGTTGATCTAACAGCTTGTATGCTAGTAAGAAACCCCGCTGTAGGAAAAGATACACATAAGGGATGATGATATTTTGGCCGCTAACATTATCATTTGTTAAGAGCTTCAAGTGACTGACTAGTGACTAGGGCTGACTATTCTGGGGGTAAATTCCACGTCAGTGTTTGTCTGGGAGTGGATTAGCTGCCATATCATATTCATTTCGACCCACCGACTTGTGACTTTTTCCAAGATGTTCAACGGCACGCTAACTTCTGAATCAAATTTTAAAATGGTCTCTTCAGTGATCTCTATACAAGCTACAGCTGTTCATCAAGCTTTGCAATCACTTCCAATCAAATACAAGACACTATCTCCCCATGTAAGCAATATTTTACACGAATTTATTCGGGATACTTACCAAAGCTTCTGCTATCTTCTTGCTTGCCACAACCCCACAGATCAATTGTGAAAGTGACTTGTTCATCCTCCTTCTGTTGCTCGCTGACAACTAGACGCAGGCCACGTGAGTTCAGTTTGCCGGTAAGCCGCACGGATCCCCGCAGATTGTCCAAATAGTTAACGAGAGCCTACAGACGTGAAGTTATAAGGATAAAGTTATCCTACGTGGTGTTTGGTACTTATCTGTATACTAAGTAATAGGGTGTCTGCAAAGTTCTTTCAAACTTGCAAGCCGTACTTTATACTTATGGGAAGAATATTCGAAGTGTTTGTGCCTCGGTATTTGCAACAGAACCAGCTTAACTGTCAGCCAGTTGTGACTTCCAACTGTTGATGTTTGTGGCGTGGATGTGTCAAACAACATTTCCAAAACTGTAAACGCTTGATTTAACGGTAACCAGGTTTCCGTTTTAATTGTTTGGTTGTCAGTGCTTCCGCATTGAGTTCCGGTGTCACAGGACGAGTTAGCATAGCTGAACAGCGAATGGATTGCCTGCTGCGTTTCGAAGCATGACCTTGAAACAATTAAGTGGCACCCGATGCGATAATTCGCACATATTAAATGGGATCTATGAGGTTATTCACGTGTTTGGGTCTTCAAAATCCACCTCACAATGAGAGGTCGGCTATCATCTGAAGAATGCGCCCAGTGGTATGGGTAAATAAGTTCCCGCCTTATTCGCGAACGAAATAGGAGATATGTAAATAACAGTTGTGAACTTTTACTTTATTTTTATGACATCGGGTAAACGATCACCGTGCAAGCCCCAATTTAAACGGAATAGTGTGCCTCGTCGGATTTCTTCGCGTTCAGAAAAGCACTCACATTTGCACCAATACTAGGTACGAATGTACTAAACTAAGTACGTTGTGTGACTATACACTCATTTGCAAACTATTTGGTGTGTGTATATTCGCTAATTTCGTGCAATTTGGTTTCAAGTAGAACATAAGGTTGACGGAAACCCGGGGACTGTGCCTACCTGATGAGCCCCAAGAAGGGCGAAACCGGTCATGGGCTGTCGATGGATTTTCAGCAAACTTATGAGTAGTACATTACAAAGCTATACGTTGTGTGACGTCTTTTCATGTTAAATTTAAATCCTGACAGTGTAAGCTAGGCTATGAATGTAACTCCCACACAGTCGGGTCAACAGCCTGGTGGTCCGCTAAACTTGAGCTTGATTAGTCAACTGTGCCCAAGTCACTTAACTAAAGCCAGTGTGCCAAGTCCGTTTGACGTCTCAAATCTTTGTTGAAGAGTGAATGCCGCTCCCTTTAAAGCTTTAGCCGTTTCTGTGCTCACATTGCCGTGTTGGCTTTATGGGCGTCACATCTGGTTTGATCAGATTTTCCTTTCCTTTCGTAACGATTTTAATTGGCAATGCAAATGTACCTAACTAGTGGGTGTCTTTCTCTGCTACGTAATTTGCTACATAAGCACGACAGTTCCTAAGAAAAATTATACAATCTACTTGGTCTCTTAATTCGTGCTTCTTTCACATCACCGTGCAGGTTAATGGCAGCTGACCAGAATAAATGCATTTTATCAGCTGAAAGCCCGAATGTAGCTGGGCAAAGTTAAAAAGTTGGAGATTCGAAAAGTCAAATTTTAATGAGGGTTGAACAAACTACTCTCATCAACTGAATTTCGATAGACTGCCTGGCCTGGAGGTGCCAGTATTTATATAATTTCCCAGTATCAAAAGCAAAAAAAACTATATACTATCGTTGATCGATCGATGGCTCGCAAGTGTTTATAAAAAATGAGAGCTTATTAGCATTATGATGGGTTCAAACTAGAGTTCGTCTGGATATACGATTGGTGTTCTATTTCCGTCCTGTTGTACCGAATGGTTCCAGAGACTCCCAGATTCATGCGTTTCGCTTGAACGTGTGCGGTGTCAGTTGGAATAATTTCACTGGCGGTTTGCTTTTCAAAAATGCGGAAACTTAATGCTCACCTGTTCGTGGAAGAAAAACGACCTCCCATCGTTTGTCCCGTAGATGTCCATTTTTGTCACCTTATTCGCATCCGAAAGTAACTTGACTTTGACCTCTTTCACAGATGTCTTTTTCCCGAATATTATATCCACATATCTGTATCGTGCGAAGGTACCACTTCGAACCGGAGGTCGCCAACCAACAGTGGAAGTGTATCGAATGTTCGGGGCACGGTGGTTTGGATCAGCGGAAGAAAAAGAGGTGATCTGACAATCGAAGACTTTTGCCGGATCGCTTATTTCAAGACTTTCCATACACCCTAAAGGAGACCATAAAATAACAGATTAGAGCTACACATCAACAGATGCTGAGATGTTTGAGAACTTGAGAACGGAGCGTTATCCAGTACGTGTCATTTATTCTCCTACTGAGTTCTGAGTATTCTGCAAATTTATCCACATCTGCGCATCTTAAATAGTAAAACTTTTAAAAGCGAATCAATATTTTTACTAGGCATCGTCGCTGCCTCCCTTATGGCCGTTACCAGCGTTGTCTTCGAATTTCTGAAAGTTATATTTCTAAGCTGAAAGTCAAATTCTGACTACTTCGAATGCATCACTCAATGGTTAATTAGGAGGTCGTATGGACGAGGCTGGGCGGATCCTCGGTTTCTAAACTTACGACCCGTGCAATACGGTAATATTCAGCCGTTCCTTCGAACTAATGATCCTAGACCGTGCACTACCTCAGGTACTGCGACAAAATTCACTAATTCTCGGGTCAATTTATGTCGAACACTTACTTGAGCAGCTTATTTGCAGTTGCTTCTTTTTTTTGTTGCGTTTCCAATATATTTTGGCATTTTGTGTAAGACGTTCCTCTTACATGTTACCGATGATCAACAGTGAAGTTTTTTCGAAGGGAAGGCGCATGAGTCTCGATTGCTGTGAGTAGCAAACATTCAATTATTATTGTATTTTATTATTTTTTGAATTGTATTGTATTTTAAAGTAAATGCTACTATCATGCTGAAGTTAAGGCGACATGTACATCTTGACCCCCTACCCCAAATCAATTGTCCCGGCGCCCCTCGACGAACACAGGTGAACAAAATCTGTGAACGACCACAAGAGGAATTTTCCATTAAGGTGTGCTAGACGGAAAAAGAATGGCCACAGAATCCGGTTTCAGCATGAAGAAAACTCCCTCCTAAATGTTGGTCATCCCCATTAACCAACAAACAGAAGCATCAGAAAGACACCCATTGCTGATCAAGTCGGCTAACCATAAGAAATCTCACGGATTGGTTCCCTGACTACCTTAAAACACAATCAACCTGCTTACTTACTCACTTGAACTGACAAAGCTTTTTTTCATAAATGAAGCGTTACCCAGCAATAAATCAACCTACTATTTAACAGGGCTCATTGAAACTATGACTACCCAATCGGTCCCAAAAATTTTCCAATTGGTTGAAAACTAAAGGATGGATTTAAATCCAGAAAGCATAGATTTTTACTTTTTCATACCAAAATACGTTCGTCTTCAAGTCCGTTTACTTTTCTGTACACTCTGTAAGTCCATGACTTCTAGTTAGTTCTGTTTTGGAAACCACCACATCTGTCCCCAGCAGGATTTCGGGTACACAGTGCTCTCTTTTGTTTCCGTTCACGCTCGTGCCTGCTGAGTCATTTCGAGAGCGTTCCACAACACTCATTATTGCAGCTAGACTTTTACAACAAGCAGAACCTTTCTGCTTGTCATTCTGTGCAGCACTGCCGACGCTTGGGGACATCTAAGATCTGGTCCATCAACCTCGAGAACAGCACATTGCATCTAGCTTCAGTTGTTTAGAACCTCATAGCATTTACTATTCTTTCTTGAGGCCCCTGAGGTATGATTTCATAGAGTCGCACTTTTACCGCTATTATTTATGGACATCTTACTAATACGCCGCATTCCGTGCTGCCATAACATGAAGCAAATTAATGAATAATGACTGTAGGATGCATAACCGCTTAATGGTGCTTTCAGATGTAATGCCCGATTCTATTCGGCTGATTCTCAGGCATCAGTGGTTATCCAAACTGTTATTCCTTACGAAGAATTTTACTAAATTTTCTGTGGCCGTTAGAGCATAGATTAACTACAAGTGATATCTACATGCCAGTTAAGAAAGCAAGTCTTCGAACAGGTCTATTCACTGAACTTAGTTGTTTCTAGTCTGTATATGCGTAGAAACAAAGGCTTCAGTCCAGCGCTTAAATCGCTGACTGACACCCAAGAAGGTTAGAGACACTACTTTTGCTTGAAAATGAAGTACAAGCGCATATTTTGAAGACAAAACGGATGGAGTCTTGTCACAAGTCGTATTCACTGGTGTATACTACGATCTCAAACTCATCTCTGAGTTTCAAGACAACTCTTTTCACGAATGCATAATGAGCGATCTAACTGAAAGAAGCGGACCATCTTGAGACCCAGAGCTTCATTTCTAGTAAATGGCGAAAATCCCGGCCAAGTGCTTTTCAACCAATAACGAATCAAGTAAGTGGCTGTTTCATAGGGGACAGTTTTTGAGTAGTTGTAGACTGAAACTGGATTGCCGGAAAAAGTAGCCAAATAAGACAATGTGGGCATCATTTTAGTATATTTCACCGTTCTATATGGGACAGCTGTGATCTGGTTTTCTTATGACTCAGTAGAGTAAAGAATAAACAAAATCAGAGAAACCCACCTCCAGGTTCCCCGACCGGAACATATTGCGTCACTACAAAGCGTGCTGGACGTCCTCCCACACCGTCGCTTGGAGTCGGGTTAGTTCTGGGGTAAGCCATGCATATCAGTTCAACCACTAAGGCAGCATTCAAGCTCATCAGGCCACCTGAAAGTTCCAATTTCGAGGCGACTTTCAGGTTGAAAAGCACCCACGCTTGTTGGTCAAAGTAGAATCCACCAGCCTAAAATGTTCAATTAAAGACAACGCCTGTGAAGAAATTTGGTGATTTGGCGAATAATTTAATCAACTTATTTCGAAGCAAAATTATAGAGTGATCCTCTGGCATAACAGCAAGAAAGTTAGCCAAAAAATAATTGCCGTCAAAGATTCATCAAACAAGACCTTCAGAGTGAACAATCCCAGGTGAAGAGCGTAAAACGTGGAGCAAAGCAAGCGGCTATGAAAGTGTTACAAAAATACAAACAAAGTAGGCCACTCTGGTGAACGAATAGACGCTCTTAGGCAACAACAGATTGTGTAGCCAATCTCGCACTTTCAGTGAGGTCTTCGTCCTATGGGATAGGTCAATCTGTAGTCCTTAGTGGAAACCATCAACAACACTACGCGTTGTACAGGAAAATCCGAGATGTGTCGAACCCGTGACCTCTCAACTAGTGTTTTGAACACTTAACTGTCCGGCTACGGTTGGCTGATTAGCTGTACGATTAATTTGTACCTGGACAGTATAGTGAAACGTATTTTCCAATCGCGTGCCCACATCACGTAGTCGCACGTGTTAGTTAAATGGCTTCTTGAGTGAGGAGTTCCCAGATCGAAATTTCACTCTTCATGTGATTTTATTCGTCCTTTGGGCTGCTTTTAGGTTGTTGGTGATGTAAGGATATCTTGAAATTTCAATATAGCTTTCAGCCTACACTGAAAAGCCTTGGCCGAACGGCTAAGTGTTCTGCTGCTCGCCTGGAGGTTGCCTGTTCGAGTCTCTGTGAACAACTAATAATTTCGAATAATATTGAAACAGCTGTGCAGTACTTCTCGTTTTTTAAATAAAAGGTTGGCTTCAATCGCAAAACAAAAGCGCCATTAAACGTCTCCGATTTCCTCATGTTACCAACGCCTTTTTGTTTCAGAAAGACTACCAAGGAGTCAGTTTGCTTTATTAAATATATACTCACTTCGGTAGGCCCGAAGTGACGTGTGCATGACGGTTCATATGATTGCACTGCACTACATGTTTATGTAAGGTTAAAATGGATCATTTCTTCGTAATACCATCGATAAGTACATTGTTATATGAATCACCGTTAGTGACAATAAAAGTAATAAAAGGTGGGTTTTACCCGTTACACAAACACTGAAGAAGGATGTGGCGACTAGGTCAAAAGTCTTCATGCTAAAAGCTCAACGGTTAATGAGCCTGAAAATAGCATTGACAGTGTGACCTCACCAGGCAGCGGGGTTAGATTTTATCATGACGAAGATATGCTAGACAACCATCCTTCTATCCTTGTTTATATGACAAAGATTGTTTAAATGTGCTACCCAAGTCGCCTTCGTCCGTTCAAGAACATATACTTGGCCCAGAATTATCATGTAGTATTAAGTGGTAGATTCGGCCCCTCATGAAATCGTGAAGCTGGATAAGCATTCGTACACATCCCTTCAGATATGGCTCGTGCACAACATTATCTACAACAGTCCTTCTCTTTGGCCCCTCAATCTAGTTAGCTGGCAGTGGATACTCTTAAAAGCGATTGTTATCACATGAGCCAAATATAATACTGAGAAAGTAGTCTGGTACAAGTGGATTTTTGGAACGTCTATAATATAAGAAGATTTGGGAGATTTCTTCCTGTAAGAGGAGCCAATCTCTGAGGAACAGCTGAAGATTACTAAACGGGCCCTGGACACTCTAGGGTTTAATGTCATGAACACTGCTGATGATTCCCAATAAGGATACAAAACTGTACAATACTTCTTGGCATTTTTGTTTAGATTGGCTTCACTTTCAGGACGAAATCTCCGATGAACTTCCCGAATTGATTTACTTGTAACTCGCTTGCATGGTGCTTCGGTGTAATACAGTCTTAAACAGTGTTGAAGGAAAGCAGTGGAAAATACGAATAAACCCGCCGGTTAGGTTGTCTCACCACTTCAACGCTTAAAGTAATTTGTGGTTTAAAGTATCTGGATTGTCACCTATCTGTGTGAATATTCAAAACCACTACCGTATTCGGAATCTGAAAATCGGAAGCGAGTGTGCACAGAGTCAACCGAAATCAGACACTCACACTTACAAAACACCAACGGAACGTAACCGACAGGAAAATTGAACTCTTCCTACTATCTTTGAATTACCTATTAAGACGCGTTTCGGTAGGTGAAGCCAGCTTTGTTTCCATGCAGTCCTTTCGTATAGCTATTCCGAAAATGAGAAGACTTCCGGCCATAACACGAAGACAGTCACAGTGTTTCAGTTACTTCAAACAACTGTCCTGAAAACTCAGCGGTCAAGCCAGCTTGCGTATTATTATAAAGGCCTTCAACCAGCAATTAAACACAACCGAATACAGACATTAATTTTGTGAAGACTCATCTTGCAAACTAGATTGGTTTCATACGAAATCCAACAGGTACTGAACGTCAATTAAGTCCACAGTAATTGTCCAATCTGTAGCATTCACTTGAATAGCTTGAGATGAGCTAAGGTTTAAACCCGGTTTCCATCAGCTATGAGAAGATATTCGAACTCGTTGAATTCCGGATGGAATATGTAACCCAACTTCTTCATGTCTTGACTGCATGATAATCCAGAAAAAACTAAGAGGGTTGGAAACTCTACAGTAATCTATCGAAATCAAAACTTTTATGCTTAAGGTGAGAATACAGCTGGTGGATAGTGTTCAAGTTATAAGAGGCGGTGAACTGAGCCGTATAACAAACTGGCAAAGAAAATGAGACACTCATACGAACCTTGAAATTCGTTATTCGCGGATCGCTGTTTGCTTCAGAGGGTTGGAATTGAGGCGACCCGGTTGATTGATCTGCGATTGTGACCTCGGTGAAAATTTTTCCGTTGTGTACTTGAAGAAACTGCTCTTGACATTCCAACTGTGACGAGTCTCTCATGCTCCTGTTTACGCGAATCTGAAGACTTTGGCTACAAGTTTCAAAATCATATGTGAAGTTCGAGGAGAAGCTAACGATGAAAGAGTTCCGTGTTTGCAGTGATCTAAATGTTCACTTCCAAAAAGTGACCAGTGACAAACATTTTAGAAAACAAGGCATTTTGGCCGTCAAAACGATAAATCCAAACCTGTGAATAATCGCCGGTGACATTATTAGTCGACAATACCTAAAAGAGGTTCAATTAAAACTAGTTAATCTCTGTAGCCTGTCGACTTCTTAGATACTAGATGGAGCATACAGTTTCCAGTTTTTCATTTAACCATATAATATTGAATGTAACACTGCAGTAACCGTTCGTTTGCAGACAAAATATATGTAGTGTAGTAGTCTAGGAATCTAAAGAGATTTTGTCCACCTCATTCTTTTGAGCAGACCCTCTCTCATCCTTGTGAAGGAGACCAGAGAGTAGTAACCATGCATCCTCTTACCTGGGTTTGAAATCACTACCTTATCTCTGCAAACCGAACTCTGAGCATCCAATATTCAACATTAACGTAGCAACACGCCGAAAACACCTGCATTATTTCGTCGAAATGGCTAGACGTAGACACACTTGAGGGGCGTGGGGATAGCTTGACTTTCTGAACAGTAATTTGGCAATTTGGTAATTTGCCCCTGTGCCAACTAGACTGTTCGTGAAAAGGAATCTTGAACGCTGTCGGACAACTTCATCCCACTAAACAGTGGGTTAGAATTTATCAGCTTAAAGCTACTAATCAGTGGGTCTAGTGACCGATCTCTCTTTGAGCACATGAGATGAAAAGCTCATTGTGGCTTAGGTTTCATGGCATGAACACAACGGTACTGTGGAAACCAGGTGAAACAACATGCACAAGCTTATCGATCTATCAGCTTTCCCATGGGAACCCATAAACTTTCCGGTAATAAACAGACTGCTTGAGTGAACAGAAATGAAAGAGTACCGTTCTGGCTACAAAAAATGTCATACTCTCAATACTGTCGAGGTTTACATTTTCCGGATGACCCGTTCTGCGCAGCTGTTGGCTCAAACCATTCTAGTCGGGTTCTGTTTGGGGAATTCGGGGACTCCCACAGAACCTTTGGCCAATTTCTCTGACCATTCCGAAGGTGCGTAGTAAAAAAATGGAGCTAGCTACATTCGAACCATTGACATGCTTGCAGCTCTTTGGGCTGAGGTCATCTTGCTATTGGGGAGAATATGGGTCAGGATTGCGTAGCCACGTCCAAGATCCAAACAGAATGGAACGTTTTGTTTGTCCATGCATTTTTCTCAAAGGTGGCACACAAATGAACTTAATTACATCGAACGACAGTATCATGTTAAACCAGCCTGATAACGCTTTTTGCCAATAAACTCCCTCATACAGGTCCATCTTTCTGTCAAAGTCGGTTCCACCTATGAGTAAGCGTCTCATTCCAAATTTCAAACTCTGTAAAATCAATCATTTGAACGTTCCCAGCCGACGGGCTCCAGATTATAGACCCTGCTGGCAAGATGGCTTTCTGTTGTTGAGAAGGTGGAACAAATCTGGAAGTACAGTTTGTAGGTAGTTGATTTATTGATGTCTTGCTGAAAAGGCCAGAAACCCCGCACAAACGATTCAGCAGTAGACATCTCAAGAATTTCTGATGAGCCCAGAACCCGCGACCAAAAGGCTGGTAGTTTGTACAATTAACCTTTTGGCAACGAGCTGCTGCTCAACACTGTGGCCATGGGATATAGATACTGTGATTGAAAGATGATGGTCACTATATTGTGTCTTTGTGCAATATAATCACCCTGCTAATCCCGGTCCTGACTTGACAACTGAATGAAGACTGCCAGTTGGAAACTCCATGAAACCGTTGGTGGAGAAGTTTTACAGAGCTTCTCGGCTTTTCAGCATAGACCAGCTTCACTTACAAGACGAAATCTCTTAGCGATTTAGGGGTTCTATTTCACCGCGGGATTGAGTACGATAGATGTAATGGTTCAGAAGAAAGTTAAACAGAGGGTGACAAATAACAGCAAAGTGAATCGAAGATTGAATTGGAAATTTGTCTATAAAAATTGATTGCTAACCTCAGTGTAAACTTAGTTGCTATGTAAAAGTACGGCCTTGCGTTACATTACTGTGTAGGACGTCCTACTTAGTAAAGTTCACTCTGACATAGTTCCACGGGCGACCCTTTTTCGTTGGGGGGAAACTACACTGATCTTTCAATATCGATGGCGATCACAGTCTGCCGTAAATTTTTGAAGTGTCTACTAAAAAGCACAGCAGCACTACACTATATCCAGCTGGCTGGCGTGAAAGGCTATGGTGTTGCACCCTCGAAAAGGTGTATATTAAAGGATTTTTGCATTTGAGCAATTCAGTTATCAGTATCAACACTTGGTCAAAAGGAATTGTCGAATGAACTTCTCATCTCACTTTATGGAATACTGACAAATAATTAACCTCTGGACTGCATTTGGTGGGAGAAATGATCATATGCAACAAAGATGTTCATTTAAGTAATCTATAAACATTTCTGGTATTTGTCCTGGTCCGGTGCATAATTTGAAAAAATCACACCGAGTGAAAAATTAAGGCACTTCATCTAGACCGTTGTTTATCTCTATCACACTTACAACCTGGTCATTCTCCCTAAAACCAGTAAAACTACTCAGGCCTATAAAGATAGCAAGGTGTTTGTCCTAGGCGACCAGCATGTCTATATTCATGGAAGAAGTGATTATGCCTCCCCCCGACGAAGAGCGGGTTAGAAAATGTCGACCCTAAAATCCGCATATTTTGATGGCACAATGGTTGATCTTGACCGAGGACGCATCATTCGATACGGTCAAAAAAAATTTTAAACAAAGGGAATTGGTACTGCGCAAAGAGTACCACTGTTGCGCAGCCAACGGGAGTGAGACAATGATGTCTTACTCCCTGTATCATCAGATTAGGCCAACTCCCTGCAACCAAACAGGTTAAAGCTAGGGAAAGTATCCCAGAATGAAACCCTACATCCGCAAAGTGCACTGCATGCCAGACTTCTGAGTTAAAAGCTCAAAAAGGAGTACCTCAAGCAAATCCCACTCCCGGGCCGAGGTAACCAGAAAGCATCATTTTCCCTCACGATTCCTTGTCCACCGATGTCCATCCACTACCACTTCTCACCATACAATCAAACGTTTCTGGGCTCTCTGGTTGTCAGTTATCTGAAAGATGTTCCACATTCCTCTCCCCTTAAAAAATAAAAAAAAATCAAACGTTTCTGGGCTCTCTGGTTGTCAGTTATCTGAAAGATGTTCCACATTCCTCTCCCCTTAAAAAATAAAAAAACGCCGTTGAGTTTATACGATGCCTTAGACCCGTATTTTATGTCACATTGGAAAAGAGGCAAAGCTTGACCAGACCTAATACTTTCTTAAAATTGATGTGTGCCGTGTCTCTGAAAAAGGCATACAAAACCCAATGGTGGTTAAACACCTTAAAAGCATTTTGGAAGCAGAACTTCTGAACCTGTATTTTTCCGATCCCAATGTTTGTCTGTGGTTACTCGCGGAAGCTCTTCTGCCTTCAGTCAATTTTGCCTCAAACCGACGCAGTTCGGTCTCTTTATGCTCGTTTAGATGGATGAGGCCATGACACAGACAAGTGAGAAGTTCCGAGACACACTTTGATCTCGTCCTGTAAGTGAAGCCAGTCTATGCTGACAAGCCGAGAAGCACCATAAGGCTGTTTCATCTCCGTTAAAAATCAACACTGTTCATCTCACCAATCTCCAAATTCTCGAACCGGCGACCTCCTGGCTGATCAGCAGTGTGATTAACTTGAACTTAGACAGGATACTGCGCTGCTCACCCATCAGTCACACGATCCACATTACGTGCTCCTCAAGCAAAGATTCCTCCGATGAAAGTTTCACTTATCGGGTATATTTTTTTCCTCTGAGATGTTTATAAATTGTTTGTAGTGTGACAATTTGGAAATTCTTGAAAATTCCCATTTAAGACTTCAAACTTGTAGCCAAGGGCTCGGGGGTTCGAAACTCTCTGAAGTTCCATGAGATGTGTATCGCTGATGATTGTCAACAAGAATGAAACAGCTGTACAGTGCTTTTTAGCCCTACTTACAAGACAAAACCTACATAAGGGTTTCCAAAATCCCACACCTACATTCATATTTGTATTCCACTTGCTCCAGGTACGCAATCAGGACTTATATATACTCCTTTGGAACCAGGCTTTGATTTGTTCACAAGCCAGACGTTCGTACATAGAACTCATGCGCACAGACAAGCACCACCTTGAGCTTTTTTGTATAATGCTTGATTTGAAAATTTTCAATGACATATTTCCGTAACCCCATAGCCACTACGAACACTTTTGGTAAAGGATGACCATTCAAAGCACAACCTACCATGGAACTGGATAGATTAGTTGGAAAAACTGTTTATCATATCCACCCCAGGATGTCAGCGGATATCTGCTTCCAATCTCTCAATTATCATTCGTGCAGAAGAATTCTCATCACCATAAATGTGTAACGAATTAACTCTCGATATGTTATCGTACAACGCCAAATTATTGGAATACTCACCAGCCGAATTTGGAAATAGGTTTTCTGAGTAAACCATGAACAATAAAAATTGTACACTTACTCAGGTTGAAATTGAGATGACCCATCAAAATTAAGCAGTTCCGATACCAGTTTTAACTCCATTGTTTCGCTGCCCGTCCGAATGACACGTATATTTTCAGTTTCCGTGGTCGTTTGACTTCCAAGTTTCACAGTGACTCTGATTGGAATATTCGCGTCGTTATTTGCGTTTTCACTGTCTGCTAGTTTCACTTTAACCACGGCAGACAGAACATCTGAGTCAGAGACTTTCAGGCCGAGTAATGCACTTATTCCTATACAAATGAAGAGGTGTACAGAATGAAAAACGTCCAAACTAGGTGGATGTCTCTGGCACTGCCACACAAATACAAGTACCGATATCTTCAAAAAAACTTATTGACTGAGATAAGATAGATAAAATAGTTTGAGAATAGTGGTTCCCAAAGTTTTTCGCGCGGCTATCTCACTTTGTAATTTCCGGGTTGTCTACTACTCCCTACGCTTTCTGATATTTTATAAACATTTGACATTTTGACCAGTTCGTTGAAATTCATCCATGCTTTTTGTTTTGTCCATTTGATAGTTTTTTTATTCACCCACTTTCTGACTCTCCTATTCTTATGATAGCAGCTGGAAGGCGTTATCTCGTCACCTGTCTTCCGCAGCCCCATTGTGCCTTGGCTGGTATTTTGACATGGGTGGGTGGTTGGATAACAAAACTTTATCCATCACGGACAGTGTTTGAATAAGTACACCACAATCAGCTTCTCCTCTACTGAATGTGTTTTAGTATGAACAGAAAACCACCCACGCATAGTTTAGTCGCTAACTGTGTACATGCATGATGTGACTGAGGCCCGTTTGGCCTCGGCTCCCAAAAGCGCAATATACCCATAATCGGTTACGGCGGTGCTATCAAATATATTGTACCATTGTTTAGTGTGCTTTTACACCCTCGCTGATACTCGGTTAAATCTGGCAGTACCAAATGAACTTAATGTCGGTTTTCCAGCGAATAGTGTGTGCCAGAATCTCAGTATTTTCCGGGCAGATCCAAACAGTTTTGAAAACACAATTCATGTTGTCAGTGTTAGAAATTGCAAGGCTTCTGTGAGAGAGAGAAAAAAATATACAGCTTACTTGTACTGAACTGGATCAGTGTCTTGTTGTTAAGTTCCAATAATGATTGTGATTTCAGCACAAAGGCGAATCGTGGCATAATTCAACAGGGGTAACATAGGTGGTGGTGCGACTGGTGCGACAACTAAATACTGCTTGTCTTGAATGGTACTGCGTTGTTACAGCTACGCAATGAAATTTGATCTTTGACTGACTTTGTCCAGTTTTCATAATATATTTGAGTGACTGTAGTCAAAATTTCATATGCACCTTAGTCATACCAAACATCTTTAGATGTTAGCTGTTCTCGCACACGGAGCGTTATTTTTCATACACTGTTCAATAAAATCACGAGAAGGCGGGCCTCTACGATTTGTGCACTTCTGATGTGATTTCTGGCCGTCATAGAAGAAAATAACTTTGAGCATCATGGAGGAAAACGCCAGTGACTGATTGATGTTACGTACTTAGGATAATCTCATCATGGCATCCCGCTGAGAGAGTTCTCAACTGTTTCCTCTTGCTATGGCATATTATAATCTCGGCAAATCGCGTCGACTAATTAAATCTCACATTATCTGGAGCCGATCGCTTTTCCGCTTCCTAACTGGGTAACCTGCTGTCCTCAAAGTCAATAGACCATGGATCCACAGAGTATACGGGGTTTGGCTTGACCAAACGTCTAGCACTTCGATGCTGAGTTTTTGAATTCCAAAAAACAGCCAAAATTTTAAGTATTCATCTACTCAGGATGATTCAAAAGAGTGAAAGGGTGCCGAAATTCTATAGAAAAAGCCGTCGTTGCTACGATATTTTTTGTTGGCCTCTACATTTTTCTCGTTCGTGTCCACTTTTGGGTACGTTAGGTCAAGTGAAAAAAACAGTAGTCGTCTGAATTTCAGAAACATGTACTGGTATGATTTCCTATCTACTGATCAAACGTCGCACACATCCATTCGCTGAAAATGGTGGTAGAAAAGACACGTTGTCCTATGATTTTTTTCTCAGGTTATTCATAGCTGATTACGTACTTTTTTATTTTAGCTCAATGTTCGGTACAGACACGAAGATGGCCGGATCATTTTGTAATTGACATGGATTTGTAGGAACTGGCACACCTATGTGCCAGTGACTTTTTGCTTCTGTGCCACTGTCTGCTTGTATACACGCCAAACCGGTCAAAGTTGCTTCTTTCTAACTCTGCATGTTCCCCCTCACCATTAGCTGGCATATCTCACCTACCTCCTTTTGGGTGTACCTCTCGATTACGTCTACTTCTGTATAACGTCGTATTTAAAATAGTGTCACCCTGCACGGATTATCCAAGAGTACCGTTGCGTCGGAAACCTTAGGAATAAGCGTCTGGTCACGGGCGCAACGCTAACTATACAAAGTTAAAATTTCGCGCAAACAAACTCATGCAAGCTGAAGGCAAAACTTTAGATTCCGTGAAGCTAGGGTCGGTTGGACAGGGAGAATACATTTAAATGAAGCAAACCACGTACCAGGAGGGTATTCTTCCACTAATGAGCTATACTTTGAGTTAGTAAGGACGTCGCTCTTTTTACATAGTTCACGTCCTCAATTGCAGACAAAAAGAGAGTGACCACTCTTATCAGACACACATACTGTCCTTACTTGAAGCATATGCTGAGATATGCAAATTCAGTTTACCTCGAAATTGAGATGGTAATATCACACGGGGGAAGGATAAGAGACACAGGACGGCGCTCGGGCTCGGATAGAGTTTCAAGGAAATCATCAGGTATGGATATACAAATACGTTGCGCATTGTCCATCATTTTACTATGAGCCTAATTTCAGACGGAGGAGACCAGGGTATCCTCGTGAAGCACCTCGCGATCCGCATAAATTGACCGTGCCATCACTGATTCAGATTGAAGTCAGTGGAAGTGAACTAAGCGACACGTATTCGCTCTTTAGATTAAAATGAATATTCATGACAGCAGTCGATACACGCTTGTACAACGATCATACTACTTCACCAGTAACACAAGGCAACATGAGAGGAATAAAATGAATTGCTTCCTACACACCACTTAAACCCAAAATATAAGTTCTACATACCATCAATGCAACCGGTAGCATGCGGAACTAGATTCCATCTGCTGAAATAAATTATTAATGGGTGATGTGTCATGTGGTTTCAAAGATGTCCGCAAAGTCTGCCGTTGAATAGGAGTGCTCCTCAAAATTTACCCTCGTACCGGCAGACTCCGACTACAAGAACGCACTTCCCTCGCAATATCCATCGTTCCCGAAACGTCACCTTCTGGCCATCCATAGATGTCAGCACCGGAAATATATTAGCTGGCGGTCAAGAATGTCACGACGGGATGTTTAATCTGGGAGACACATGAGCACTCGCGCACGGTAAACAGTGTAGCGATAGTCACCGAAACCGAGTAAAAATTACCGTAGCCACCAGATCAACAAAATGGCACGTTGCTTGGTCAATATGTCACAGTGTAGTTACTGGAGAAAGCTGATTGTATGCACTCACAGAATACATTAAATTATGATCGCTATTACATTGTTCAATTACGTGCCACATTTCGCTCACGTAGTTCACGGTCGAAAAGAAACTATATCGCAAAGGATGTACTGGATGATGCCTTATGGATTTCTGTCATTGGACTTCTCCACTGACGGTAACCGGTTTTTTTCGTAGTTTGGAAGCGCTATTTTGTAGTTTTTTTCATCAAACTAGTCAATGTGACCTAGCTACTAATGGAATTCTACAAAGTTGCTGCCCAAATCATACGCGTGACTTTCGTCAGGCCTGAGAAAGCCCAGCCTATGGCAATCGCACGTGTGTTCTTTAGGCCACAGAGCAAAAACTGCCTCATAACTACCTCATGCACCACTTTCCCATAGAAGTAACAGCCAACAAAACCACTAAATTTTGCTCCAGTTATGGGATCATTCAGAACCCGTGTGGAGCCAGTAAGAGTCGTGTTCACTGGTGAGTGGTTAGTACTCGGACGGTGCTTGTGTGCTGATTACCAACATGTCACTTATCTGCGTTGGATACAAATGGAACTCACCACTTACTGTCTGTAATATTTGTGTTCGGCTACATGATGTGAGGCTTTTAGCCACCATATCGCTGTTTAAATGGATGTGGGGCTGTATGGGACGATGACTGCATGAGCCGATGCGAACTGTCTGTAGCCATGGTTCCCAAACCCGCTCACGAGTGCTCAGACAAACACTGGCGTTGAATAGCACACTCGTTTGCGTACTAATAGGTTTGAACACAAGAACCTACTGCTCGTGAAGTCTATCGAAATTATGGCCAAAGCTCTATGTGCAGGCCGATTGGCGAATAGGTTTGAACTTCATCATCATCTATTTTAATGCTCAAAATATGGAGAAACATCAAGAAGACAGCAGCTCTGGTTAGTTTTGCTCGTGTACACTATCGGAAAATGAAGTCGCTCCTTCCTATAGGTGAATTATGCCCAACTACCAGTGATGTATACATTTGGGTATATCAAGAAATACATGTTTAACATGAAAACTTGCGTAGTATCCTTTACGTTGTGGAGAAGCATGGGGGTGTTCAGTCAAATTAATCAAAGGGGAAAACCAGTGAATGACAACAGATAACAGGTGGTTTACAAGGCAATGGGACAGGTTGAACAATTGCTGAAAAATTATTAAGGGTTTGCTAAATCATAGCATATCATCTCTTACTCTCATTGTAAAATTTTATTTTTCGGACAAGTTTGAAGCTATTCACTTGGAAAATGACAATATGCTCCGGATGCTTTCCAGCTTTTGGAGAATAGTTATGAATACTGCAACGTTCTCCTAAAACGACCCTGTCTTTCTTATAGAACCACAATAACCAGGTCCTATTGGTTGTTTCTTCAAGGGTGATCGTATATCGACCGCACACAAGAGTAAATTCTCTCAGTGCAGAAGTGAACCGATTGGTGGTTTGATACACGAGCCCGCGACGGTTTTGTGGCCATTTATCCCTTGATCTCAGTTTGAAGCTAGTGAGGAGATGTCCTTAACAAAAGCATAAAATATCAGGTACCCATTGGTGTTGCGCAGCTCTACAGTTGAGTAAAATAGGCATTTTCAGAATGATTAGAAATTAGCCACACCTGTTTGCACCAGATTTCCAAGACTGACCACAGCTTTGTTTAGTTGACCGGATTCTGCATCTGACGTGATCGTGACGTTCAACGTTTCCGATTCCAAAGACGCGAAATCCCTCCCAGCACTAATCGTGACCTCCGAGAATGTACAAGCGGCCTGACTCGGTCTACCCGTCGCTTCACAGTGAAAAGTTAGCTGCGATTCTGGGAATTTGGCAGCCGGAGGAACGCGTATTTTGGCTGTAATTGCTGTTGTTTTTCCAGGGTGACCCTCAGCGCTTGGTGGAGAAAACTCAAGTGCAGCAGTCTCGAGGGAAAGTAGGAATACAGAATAAATGAACAGCAGAAAAAAGTTTTGCATTATAAAACGCATTATCAAAGCATATCAGGAAATAACGAGGCTTTACAACAGTACTATGAGAAAAATTTTGACAGAGCATAAAAGTGCAAGCAAAAACTTTCCACATGCGCCATGATGCGTTAAAACCAGCCGGCGCCTTACCAAATCTATAGAGTCGTGCCGATAATTCTACTCCACACAATACCCACCAAGATGGCTTCAAAAGGCTGTTAGAAAATGGACGCCGCACAATAGGGCTGATAGATTCCTCCCTCGTGTTCAGAGAGGAGAATGTAGTAAATACCCAGTAGTACACCCATCTACACACTCTGCATTGACTGTGTTTGGTCGGTCCTACCAGTGCTCTGTCAGGACGGGTAGACACGGCAGTGAGCTGTCTCCAGACGTTCTAAATACTCTTAACAGTGGCGAATGCACATGAAAACCCTCCTAAAAATCGGCCCTATAGTTTTGTTAGCACCGTGCCTTTGAGAAATCCACGATTATAAACATGGTTAAAGTTGATTTGGTTAAACGATATCAGAGGATTAATGATCGCGTAAGTGTATCGTAGAAAATGAAGGCCACGTTCTAGGATTAGAGCATAGAGTGTGGTGGGTAGCTAGGTGGTCGTATTGCAAACACTCCTGGCATTTAACAGTCACACATCCGAAAAGAACAAGGCGACCCGCGCGATTGGAGTTTTCCATGGTACAACCTCAACTGATTGTCTAAACATTTGCAATTCAGCCACTTATCACCCTGCCATATTTATCCAGATGGGTATCGAGCATGACAATTAGCGTGTAAACCTCGAGGGCGGTCGGCTTTTGATGACGCTGGTTGTTTCTCGAAATTAGACCCAGCGACGCAATTCAGAAAAGTTAATGTAGTATCCTATATGTGCAGGCCTTCCGTTGATCACACTGAGGATTTTCTCAAGAGAGTCTATGACTGAAAGACTGTACCTTACTGAATTAGAAATTTAGGCTTTTGATGAGTTACAGCAAACACCCGTGCGAAGCCTGGTCACCGAGCAAATAGTAAAAATACATTTCGCTAAAAAACAGTGTGGTATTCATCCGAGTGGGTTAAAACTGACAATCAACTTGGATTATCGTAACTCGGCTGAAAGGAAGTAAAACGTAAGTTTTAAAAGTGAAGAAGCAAGATCTAGAATAGAACTTCGGAATCGGAAGGCACATAATAACCATCGTACTGATGAGACAGAAGTGTTCTCACAGTTCCTCAGCACTCATTCTAGAAAAACGAGTATCATGAATGGTTTACTATGAATAGCTATGCTGTCTACTAAACAGAAGGCATAATAGCATATTTCTGAGAAAAAATGCATGTGTATAGATATTCCATTCAGCAGTGGTTTGACTACGTGACTGATTACCATGAAGTTAAAACACTGTATCAACAGGACGTACATGACCGGAAAATTCTCCTCTCGAGTCCAGTCATGTCATCGGGATCCATTCGAAAGACAGACTATCAAAACTTACCAATATCGTTTCTGCCTCCTCAGGTGTATGCTGGTAGCCTTGGGTATAGGACAGGGCATGTGCCAAACAGAATAGGTTACCAGTCTCAAATTTCCCTGAGTTGTGGTTGGGAAGCGTGCTACTTGAGTGCACTCGAGTCACTTGTGGCAAGACTGTTCATGTCACGCATAGTGAATATCCGTTCTAAGCCATATGTCAGGTACACCTGAAACCGTCACGGACTGATACCCAACACAGAAGCAATCGGAATACAACTATATAGACCATAACTGTGTGTCTGAAGGAAGCTTGAACTTCGGCTGGCCTACGAGCACTTCCGTTCCTACGACTAAGTTTGACTCTAATTTCAATTTATTCCGTGCAGCCCATCCCCGTTTTTATATTTGTACCTGCGAAGGAACCAATATAAGAAATAACAGAAAACAATCATTGTCCGCTGACTTTCCACGAGCTCCAGCTGAACTGGTTGGAACGCGTAGATTAAGGAGATTTGCTTGTGCTGAGAAATGTACTGCCGATTATATTAGGACATTCAGAACTCTACTCAACAGCACTTCGGGAAGGTGGCTTTATTAAACGAATAGCAGTCATCCGAGAGGTTTTTGAAAGGGAGAAAAATAACTACCGGGTTATTTCGTATAAACGGCGTAGTGGTTCTGAAAAGACGGGATTAGCATAGTACTCGCCTGTTGGGAAGCTATTGACTAAAGCAACGTAGGTATACACAGCAATGCAAATGCCTAGTGTCTATGAAAACTTATCCCCTCAGCAGAAAAGGATGAGTTTCAACGTTTTTCAAGTGTTCTCCATTAGTCGTCAAAACACTTATCAATACATCAACTTTCACATAGGCGTCGACATCTGAAGAAAAAAATCCATTATGAATACTCAAATTCCGTCAGAAGAAACGCAAGAACTTAATCTGGTGGTCTATGCCCACACGAATTGTCACTTTTGTGCAAGTTAGCTGAACTCACCCTGATAGGATGTTTGATCCTCGGCCGAAATAGAGCACCAACCGTCGAGCACAGAAATACTACTGGCTAACAGATAGATCGTAATTAATTGCTATTCTGAAGTGCGTGCAAGTGTGGTTTACGGAAAGCAAGTGATCCCAGTCTATGACATCCCAAGCTTAAGGATGAGCATAACTTGCACGAGATTCATATGCGATATTCGAACTTCTGCTACCCATGCTCAGAAACCATTTCTTGGTGTCTGTAGTGGGGAAATCAGTAAACATCTGTACGACTATGTTAGGTTATTTTCATTTTTCAGTCCAACCATAATCTATGTATGGATACAATTCCTTGTTTTATCTAGAGAGGTTGGGCCAGGACACAGCCATTATTGAACATTTAGTATCTCAATAGGAACTGGGAAGTTCATCTAGTCTGAGCTATCCGAGTCCCGCACACTTTTTTCTGTATTTATGCTGTTCCGCTTCAGCTGCATTCAGTGATATGTACAGTTACCGCCAAGGTATTTAACTAAAACGAGTCAGTAGTTGCTATGCTGAACCCCACACGTTTATCCAGAAGATATGGTGACCGTGTGTTTGTGTGAAATTAACGTCTTTTGGTAGGAAATTGATCGTGTAAGTGCCCATTGGATCTGACACTGAACCTTAATTAGCGGTACACTGAACATTTATATCTTGATTTTAGTGGTATCCACTGCTACCATCTAGTGGTTCTTTTGATGAAATACTAAAATCTTATGTGACTTGTTCATTTTTATTGATCGAATAACCGTATGTTCATAACAGGAATCTAGGAAATTGTGTGCGAAAGACAAAATGGGTCGACATCGTCGCACTCAAGGAGGAAAGCAACGTAAGACATGATCAGATTGAGTTGGATATGGAAATAAGTATTGCAATAAAATGCTGAAAATTAGGCAAGATGACTCACAACGGAAGACTTTGATGGTCGTTCGGCCATAACTTTATTTGGATCAACCGTGAATTGCAAATCACGACCGGCTCCTTCGTTTTCTGAGCCGTCTTCGGTGAGGACAACCTTTATGGCCCGCTGAACTGTACCTGAGATGGTTTCTTTGTTCGGGGGGCTGAACCACGGTCTCGCGTAAATGAGGAAACGGACCTGTAATATGGTCATGCGTGGATGTTTGTCATTTTTCGTCCCAAAAATGCAATGACAGAAGGGTTAATGAGTGTCATTTCCTTCTGCCTCGCTATATATCAGTGTTTGACGCAACCAGTGCCATGGAGAAATTCCATCTGAAAAGTTGTACAACTGGTTTCTATACCTGGTTGCAACACAGCATGTGGCTAATTGCTTCATGTGTCCAAAATTCAATAATCTCTCTCCAGGGTTCCTGTCCCTTACAGTGTGTACTCCATGAATACGTCAACGTCAAATTAAATGGAGAGCTGTCTTGACGAAACTCACTGGTTGTCTGAAAACATCTGTAGAGCCCACCTTGAAGGGGTGTGCCAAAACAAAGGGTACACTATATAATGCATAACTTAGAGGCCAATCTTCTTCGTCCAAGCACATCTTTCAGGCATGAGGTAGTTGCGTGTTCAGACGTGCTAATTCAGGCGCATCCTGTGTGCGTTGATAGAGATCAAACCCAGGGATGATCAACGATATCTATCCCTGACGTGCCCTGATAAGAGCGTAAAACGATTTCAGTGCTTCCTCCTTTTGGTGTGAACTAAACAAAAGATTTCCGCCGAGCCTTTCTAACAAGAGTGACGTGGATGAGTATTCTACAAATTTCGCAACCACCAACAACATCTAGGGAAGTCAGTTTATCTGCACAGATAAGAATATAAAGGAAAACAAAGGTTGTTGGTCGGCAATACACATAGCGCCGCTCCTGTATCTGATGCAAACTAAGAGTGTAGTCAGTGCAGGTTATGCCTGGTAAAAATCCCGCTTCCTTTTCTCGAATGTGTCTCACGCGCCTGAGTTAGCTTCCGTAGTATCAAGGAAGTTAAGTGTTTCGACAGCAACCGACGATTTTACGATGGAAGGTCACTCCAAGCACTTTTTGCACGTGGGCATCATAGCCGACGGGTCCCAGTTCGGCGACTCCTAGTCTTGTCCCAACTTAAGGCAAATTAGTCCAAAAATAGCAAAACAAGTCACCACCGCCTTTGAAAAATTCTAGTGGGGGCTTATATTTCCCAATGGGTGGGAGCTTTTTAGGTAATAAGGGTAAACTGTAAAGAGGAATATAAATTGACAAACGCCCGTCCATCTGAGCTGAACGAATTAAATAAACTGTCGTTGGGAAAGATATGAACGATGACTTATTAAAACACATTAGATATACAGTGTTATCTTTACTCAACTCAAAAATGGCTCTCCGTGTTTGGTCTTGCGAAGTAACTAAAAGCCATCATTGCTCTGGCTTCCTCCATTTCTAGAACTCTCTGGTTCCACCACACCTACGACAGCAGAACGGATCCATTTGCGCTGGCATCCGATGGATGGCCAGGTTGAATTACTCACTAGGCTCGATAAAATTAAGCATCTTGGATAAAGGAGTACCATCAATCATTCTGAACTCAAGTGGCTTCTGGATACAAAAGACACACAACAAAGTTTCCCGCGCCATGTATAGCCCAGGTTGTCTCCTTGCAGCAGCTATCGTTGCGGTCATAGTAGAGTATCGTAAGGTAATCCTGGGCGTCATTCTTTAACTTTCCCGCCACAAGCTTTTCCACCACTAAACGGTAATTTTAAACATAGGTTAAACCTAGGCATTCCAGAGTGATCAGAAACCAAGAGCATAATCTCCCCATCAAGAATAATTGTGCTCAGCTTTAATCCATAGGTGCTCATCAGTAGCATCTACCGCATACGTTTAAACCTCGCACTTCACAGGAAAACTGGCGGTCAGTAAAATTTTTAAAATATACCCACCGCATTCCAGACATTTCGTGTTTAAACTGAACAATCACCAACACACCCGTCTGATGAATTCAGACTCCCAAGTTGTGAGTTCCGGTCTTCTGCCATCACGGATATATTAGAGTATTTCTTAGTGGACTAGATGGTTATAAATTTTTTTCGCTTGATCGGAACTACAATCCATAGATTCGTTGTTACACACGCTAAATAAACAACCATCGGCATTTCGATCTTTTCGAGATGGGTAGTTAAACGGCAGTCGGTTTTTCATGGGTAGCTATTCCACCAAGAAACTTCCACCTGCGAATAGTCACATCAAAAGAGCCCCAACCAATTGCAGTAGCCGCAGAGTCATCTGCAGCTTTTGGTCGGTCGTGTCCAGACAGTGAATGTGAAGTTAGCTCAATTACTGTATCTGTACCTTGTATCCGAGATTCAGAGATGTAGTAACTTTTCGTCGATAAGGTACAAACCGTGTGCACAAAAACAGATTCATGGCTGGCTTAACTGAGTTCAGGGAAAAAAGGTCACTACAGCACAGATTACTTTATGTCACAGGAAGGAATCTCAAGTATCCTCAAACTACCGACAATATATATGTTGCTCAGAGGTGAATAAACTAAATGATAAGTTAGAAGTTAGAAGCCGTCACGCAAGCAGCCAGTCAACAAAGGACAAAACACTGTAAATTCCTTAGTCGAAGGACGAGTGGTGCTATATCTTGTCTAAGTGCGAGTTAAACGCACTGCTGATCAGCCGCTTGTGGCAGAACGACTAAGTTTTCAAACTACTACTCGCGAGGTTACGGGTTCTGAACTCTCTAGCGTTTCGTGAGATGCACATTGCCAGTGACTTCCAGTAAAGACGAATCACCTGTACAATGCTTCTCGGATTTCCAACACAGATTAGTTTCACTTACAGGACAAAATTTGCACCGAGAATATTCAAAATTCCTAAGAGTGCGCACTAAGTGGTAGTCGAGAGCGGTAGCTCTCAAGTGGTCAGTTTTTTGTGTATCGGAATGACGTACCTATGCCTAAGGTGTACCGAAGGATGATTATTAACCGGAAAAAGCGTAGATGGGCAGTCACACCTTGTTTATTCGCCCTACTGTACGCAACGAGTCAGTTCACCCAGCTGAAATATAACATGAAAGCATTCTGTTTCTATAATTTATGGCTATGCGGGTTTAGATACTGCTCGGGCGCCCATATTGGACAGGAGGACTATCATGCTCCCCAATTAAGTTTACTGACCGGTAAAAGTCTGAAAGCAGGATATCAATGGTTGACGTAAGGCCAAGCTGACTTTCAGGAATCAAGGTATCATATACGTTCCGAACTCTTCACGGATGAACTGGAGGACTCTGTTTGTCAAAACTCTATCCATTGACGAACCTCAGAGGAGAAAATTCGTGCATGCTGCATGGGCTTCCTCCGGTAGAACTGAATGGGATCCTGAGGATCAAAAAGATTCAGCCTCTTTGCTTATATATCACAACAACCATTCTATATGCTGCATTCTTCATCAAGTTCGAGAGCTATGGATGACCTCATGACTTCTTGAATCTTTTCAATGTGTAACAACATTTAAACCAACTCGTGCGGCATAATCACAGGAAATATTAAACAATATGCTACCTAGTGAGTGAACAGTTATACTTGAGTATCCACAAAGCTCTGTGCCAGTTTAGCACAGTAGTGTAGACAGCAAACTGCCATGACTTGTGTGTGCATAAAAAGGGGGTTTCGTGCTACTGAGCTGACGGAAACAGCCGCAGGGTGGGTTACCCTGTTTCGTTTTACGGTGACAGACAGACACCGTTGGCAAGGGGATATATATCATAATTATGACGATCACCTCTAGAACCTGGTTTACAACGTGGTTCCACTGGAAATAGGGATACTGATTGCACTAGTAGGAAGGCTGATGAATTTCACCCAAACATGAAGAGAGTGATATATGGTGAAAAGTACCAAACATGGAAGGGTTCACTTACCCAACTGTCGGTTGTCCCTTGTGAACATACTGTGCCCACCTCCATATCCATTTGATTGGTCACGACGGGGTCACCTGGGCTGAAAATCGGAATTACTTCAAATATTAAAAAACGCAGTATTCTTCAAGGATGATGACGGTGTGACTTCTAGGAAATAACCTTTTCGCTTAATTGGATACCTTAAGGGCCAGAACAAGCCTGGGAACGCAAAGCACCTTGGTATTTGCAAAATGGTTTCTGCACCATATATATATGTATATATATATATATGATAATTTTCCGCGTAGCAGCTATTGAAACCTGTTAAGTGCAAAGTATGGTGGTTTAGTTGTGTACTCCATTGTTCGCCACAAGCCTGCGCTTTTACAGGTTGTTTTGAATAACACAAAGTCTTTGGTTGAAGACTGAATACGTTTTTTAAGTTTCATTAGCGAGAGGTTCTTCTGAAATGGCTCATTGCCATTCAATCAGAATAAAGTCTTAAGGGCTGCTCTTGGGATTTTGCAGGAACTAACACAACTGTTCCCTTGATGCAACATTTAATCCGCTTGATTTTTAACTAGAGAAATAAATGGACGAAATACTGGTATTGAAAAATTCAGATTGTATGGACTGCTGAGTTGTCCCGGAGTCCGTCTGTTTCCCATTTGTGTTCGTGCTTTCATGTTCGTAAGAGCCATTTGGTCTATCTCCAGACGTTTACGCTATATAAAGCTGAATGAGAATCCACTGCTATTTAATCACCTAACTAATGACGAATGGCGACTATTGTACAATATTTTTCCGAGGCATTAGAGAATCACGAAAAAGTTGCTGTTGGATCGAGTTGGTGAAGCATTTACTGCTGTTGACTATCACTTGAATTTTAAAACACTTTGATTATTCTGATACAGAATGCATACGGGGTGCAATATCAAGAGTAAACAGCTATCCAAGGAAAGTTCAAACTTTACTCTAAACAGCAGTGTTGCGCGTTTCTGGCACAATATCTCGTCTATTCCTGGTTAGCTTAGCATGTGGCATGTATTAAATGCTTTCACAAAAACATGCTTTCACAGACATGTTTTACAAAAAAGCCAATCAATATATATCTCCATCAAGCTATCGTCAGTCCGCTTACATCTGCACATCTCATTTTTTCTGACAGGATAGATTTGTTGCAAAGGAGTTCTCCGCAACATGGAGGACTGAATACGTGTAAAGCAGTACTTTTTGGCATGAAAATTTCCTTATAATGGGTCTTCTAGTGATAATTCACGAAATATTTCCTGAAGAAAGTTCCGCATCTGCGGAAACACCAAAAAAATAATTTGCTCCGAATTTCAGTGGACATTTGCAAATTCACTATTTACTCTCAGTAGGATTAGTGGGTGCTGGTTCGCGTGTGATATAATGTTGCTCGCAAGGATACAAAATTTACTCCGCCGTACGAAACCTCCTACTTTGTGAATCTCTCTAGAGAGACAGGGAGTGCAAGGGGGAAGCTTATTGCCCTTCATACATCACTTCTATACTACGAGTGGTTCGCTTAAGTCAAACAGAATTTGTAAAATAATTGCATATCCCAGAAACAAGGGCATTCAGGCTTTGGGCATCAACCAACCTTTTGACCGAAGTGAATGTGGGGACAGTATCCAGACACCAGATTGATGCACCGTGGGAATGCAGATAGATTCCAGACAAATCCACCGGCCAGGTTGCATCATTAGAATGTGTGACGGTCACTTTATATGAAGAGCACTTTGTTTCTTGAAGACGGATTTCGTAGTAGAATTTGACCACTTCCCCCGGAGCAGCCAGAAAGACCGGGGAATATTTCGAGCGCGGGTCCAAGTCAAAAAGTTCTAGTGATCCGGCATCCGCTGTAGACGACAGTGTTGGACCGGGCTGTAGATAAGGAGCAACGCAATCAAGTTCGAACAGTTAACCAAAAGAATCTGAAAACCAGTGCGTGAACTTCTGGTAGGATTTCCACCTAAAGTTCGCTTTGCAGTTAACACATCTAACTGACCGAATGTGCATAAGGATGTGAACGCGCTTGTATTGTATCTAAGATTTCGGTAGACATCATGACCCATTGCGGGAGGCTATACCTGACAGTGGTGAAGAAACACAGTAGATTCTGTTTCAGTTTTGGTACATACGCTCAATTCGCAATTTTTAATCAAATATTGTCTGGATCAGTGAACTAACATCCAGAGTAGAGGATAGCTTAGCAAGGTATGGTGCCGCATTGTACAGCACAATATGCATCTGACGATATTCCTGGTAACAAACCGCCATCAGGACACATGCTTCAACAGTCATGGTCAGACTACTGAATGGAAATACGTTGATCCAGTTACTATGTCAAGTAAGATTTGGGCACACGCATTCACAAATCACAGCTTAGTAGGAATATGAATGCATTACCTTTTTCACAAACTTACACTGTCATTCTTTGAAGTATTGATTCTTACCACAAGCTTGCTTTGGTTACTAAACACATTCTACCGGCCTCTAGTAGACGCGAAAATGTGAATCCGGTACCATAAAAAACGATCAACTGATCCAAGTAATCACCACTTGTTTGGGCTATCTTAAATATTATCAAATCCCCAAATGTTCTACGAAAATTCCGGATAGTGAGGTTCATATCATGCAACAAAAGGGCTCACCACAGATGTAAGTGCCGAAGTTATCGTCTTGGCAATAGTACGTGTACCATATGTGAGGGTAGCGGTCAATTCTACCCGTAGATTCTGGATGGTTCGAAGTGGCAACGCGTAGGCTAGTGTGTGCACACCGACCATTGTACCAAGTGATGCGTCAATCTTCGTGTCTATGTGCATGAAAAGAATCCATGGAAGAAAATTGTTTGCACTTCGATTCATTTCGCAAACAACTCATTCATTTGCAAACAGCTCAGTCTCACCTCTTATCACTGATTCGACATGAAGGACAACCTTAACAACCCCTAAATGACTGACTCTCCCGTCAGTGCTTTTTGTTGTACACTTACGGATAAAATGTTGAGCGCCGAAAATGAACTTAATGGTCGTGAAAGTTTTGTCACGCTTATAAAAATCATTTGTATTACAAACAACCCAATAGGTTATTGTGCATGCTCTTGGGGTGCGAAATCAGGAGCCTGTGTTGTGGACAGGGCGATGATCTCAGTTTTTGTAACAGTTAGAATGCCTTTAAAATAGCTAATTACCCTTTTTTGTAATAAGTAGCAAGTTCTCTCAGGTATTCCCTACAAATCAGCCAGTTCTAACTTGGCCTCCACGTTTTCAGTTACGCATAACCTTTTCTTCAACCCAAATCACATAAAGACAGGTCTCAATATACAAGTGGCGTTACACATTTGCCTGCAACCAATTCCCTATAGTATAACAATGCTTGGTGTCATCACCTGCAGTGAGTTAGAACAAAAATCAGTACAGAATCCCCTGAGCTGGACAACTGGACTCTTAGCTCACTCAGTTTGATGTCTGTACCACCTGGTTGATATCAGCAGGAAGTGTTTACCGGCAATGGTATTCTTCCTTCCACTACTACTACGCAATCAATTAAGTAAATAAAGTCCCATCGTCATCATCTTTATCATCATCATCAACAGTATAGCAGTGTTCAACACCGATGCTTCACTGCCGTCCAGTCTCTTCGTGACAAAATAGGACTCGCATTGCGAGATAATAATGATTACGGTTATACACCAACCTGAAGAGAGTCTTACACCCGAGCTTTTCAGGATGGATATTTGTTATTATATACGATTCCGTCAACTCTGAATACTAATATCACTTGAACTAGGAGGGGCATGACCACAAATGGAGATTCTGATGAATCCATGTTTTAGACGACCAGGCAGAATTCACCGAAATATAAAAGATTTTAAAAGATTGTAGTTCACTCACTGACTGGTTGGAAGTTAGTTCCCAGGTACTAAACCGCTAAATGACTACTACGGAAAGCAAAAACAGATGATAAATATTGCAAATTCTATCTGTCATGAATGCAAACTCAGTCGAATGTCAAGCAGTTCTACTGAAGAACCACCTTCACAGACCTGCACTTTTATGCATTCTCCCACGATCCGGGATATTTTTGATTAATCATGCATGTCGCTTTTCACAACGACCCATTTCCTAAACTGAAATGAGGCTCTTTCCCTATTGATAGTTGANTGAGCAGTACAAGCCGACCTAAACATTCACTATGAGACCATTGACTACAAATGATCCTTTCAAGTTGCTTATTTCAATGTTCACCGCGATTCAGGGTGAAATTGACCAGCTGAATAGACTAGTTTTATTTGGTGATTCAAGATGGTCTCATTAGAAGAGAAGCTGTACTGGTATTAAATGACGAAGACAAAGGTATCACACAGTAGGCTAACTCTTCCCTTTACCTTTTTTCCACCAGCCATATGCTGTCTTATCCCACACGGATGACTAAGACAAACCGAGAAATTCTGACACCGACAAATGTTTCGAGCATCTGGATAGAAAGGAAGTACTAAGTGCGCCACAAAACTGGCTGCCAGGAGCGGAAATGGTCACCAGCTGGTGGAGAAATACCTCTTTGTGAGCTTACCTTGATAAAACACATATCCGATTTCGACGTCCGCACCAGTTTCAGTTGGGGTAGGTTCCTTTATTTCAAAACCAACCTCTGAATCAAAGCTTAACACACGTGGGTAGCAAGCTTGCGCCTTCGCTGTATCAGCGGATGAAACCTGAAGTGTGTACTTCTGCTTGGTGTCAGGCTTGATCGTCAAAGTCAGAAGTAGTAAGTTGACACCTGGATAAATGAGTTTATCCTCTTCATAGTTAACCATATTCGCGTAAGTCACATTCACCAGTGGGACGTCCTGATCGCTCTGCAGTGAACCGAAAAGTCAGTCGGTAGCATGTTAACAGAATTCGTCAGCATTCCAGTGTAACGGTCGAGCTTCGAACTCACCAGCGGGTGATATGATACCACCAAATGATTAATGCGTAGCTACATTAGGTGGTAATATACTCATAACTGACACGCGTTATTCTGGACGAATTTTTCAAATGTGCCCTAGTTTGATGGACAGTCAAAATCGCTCTGGTTAAAAAATTCTTCAGGTGATGGGTTCAGTCCGTGTTAGACAGCCAAAATGAATGAAAAGGCCCAGTTTTGAACACGAATCCAAACAAATCAAGGGCAAAGTAGAGCTACTTTCGTCTGTTACAGTGGGCTAATTCAGATGCATTTAGCTTGCACTAGTGGGGTAGCACTGGCGCTTACTTCACATGACCGTTCAAATCCCAACATCGTCAAAGATACAATTTTTGATGGTCTTTGGTTGAGGCTATCGAAGCTTTCCCTTTAGTATGAAACAAACAAACAAATTGCTGCAGAATAAAAAAGACATCAGGCACCAGAGGGTCGACTGTGTGACGGGTGGTTAAACATTCCTAGCATGTTGTGAGCACAGTTCGTAGAACGTTAACTAAAATAGCTTAGCTTTGTGCCAATCAAGTTCAAGTCCATAAATCACTTGCGAACGTCCATCTTATTTCGCCAGAGGTTTGACGCAAGTTCCATTTCCCTTCTGTGTTGTTGCACAAAACAAAGAACATCGTCTTGCAGACTTTGTCCCATCAATTTGACTGTATAAGCCTTCACCTTATGCATTAAGCCAATTATAAAACTGGTTGGTTCGGTATGAATGTACATAAAGAGACAGGCGCAGAAAGTAACCAGATAACTTTCCAAGGTGAACCCATGTTCTACACACGTTGTAGCCTTGCTGAAAAGATTTACTAAGTACGATTGTAGTCCAGGGTGTAGTTGCCATGCTCTTAAAGTCTTGATAAAATATGCTGAGTTTGAGAGTTTGAAAGTTTGGGCTTTCTTTAACAAATATTATTAGGAAGACCAGTTTTATTATTCAACGGTAGACGACTCACCAATTCTAGCGGGCTGGAAAAAGGTGTCACGAGAACTTCCAACTGTTTTTCGTACGTCAACTGATTGATAACTACACTCGCTTTGGCAGTGAATCTACTGGGTGAAGATACAACGAAGCGAAACACCACCCAGCCATCTTGAGGCATCACGACGCAAGGTGCATAGATGGAGGGAAGCATGAGGTCGTAAATATTTTCTCTGTCAGATAAAGATGAAAGGACAGTGTTTGTCGACAAATTAAGAACAGAATAACTGAAAGTTTTGATATTTGGTTTAATCTTGCGGATATATGCATGGAATCTAGATTAATGGACGTAACACGACTTAGTTCAATCTGTTTTCGTCCGTTTTCCATTTTACTGAAGGATGTCACGCTCAGTTGACCAACGCAGATAAAGTTTATAAATCTTATGATTCAACATCAGATGCCTTTCTTAGTACTATTTGGGAGTACACTGCAGATAGATTGCCGCGACATTCTGATCAAAATCTGGATTTCGGTTCCATGTGTATGAGTGAAATACCGAGCCGACGAACAATCGTTGTGCACTTGGATCCTCAGGTAATAACCACAAACAGCCGCCTGTTTGCAGCTTGACTTACACTGGCACCGGACACAATATTTCCAGGTTAGGAACGCGAACAGTTTCACTTTCTCATTCGACTTGTTTTCATACAGATTGCCCGAGGTGGTCACAGAAGAGCGTTACAGATTCTACACCGTGGTCACTAAAAAACGAAGTTTCTCACACGACTTAATGCTTCATCTACCTGATTTCGTAAACATTCTATTTTTACTCAGAATTCAAAATTATTTACTTGTTTCACTTGTGCTAACCTGTGAACATATATGGATGACTATATTATGGGCTAATACTGAACGACGAAGCAGATTGTTAAAGAGATCCCTGCTACTCCTTGCTGGTTACGAAACGAATGGCAATTATAGAGTAAATATTCATAAGGCATTAATCTCCACCCTTCCAGTTTCACGTTATAATGATGTTGGATTCTAATAATTCTTGAGCTTTCGATGGAAAGAGTAATATTTTCTTCCATTGTCATGGGAATGATGCAGACACAAGGTTGTCCTAAATTGATGGAAATCAGTACCTCTCAACTTGTCACTCAGTTGCAGCAGTATGCCGCCATAAATTGCTTCAGGATTACAGTTGCGAATTTGGGCTCAAAATCTAGTAAATTTACTGAAGCTTGGTCTTCGATAATCACACGAGGTATTTTCTTCCTCTTTCGTGACTGCACACACACCAACCACTTTTCCATCCGGGCTTAAACCGGACGCAACCGAATTTTAGATATTTATTTTGTGAGCAACACCAGTTTTGCGAAAACCGTCAACTCAAGTAAGCTATATAGTACCGCTAAAAATTTCACGGTAGGTACTTGTAAGCAAGTGATTTGGCACCGGACTAAACAGGCGCACATACCCGTTTGGAGAAAATCCAATCCCAACAGGAACAACGGATCCAAAGCACAGATCGAGAGATTCGAACCTACTGTCCAGGAGTTTTACCAAGTTGGGACTGAACTCCATTCTGAATGTAACAGGCATGTACACCACGTCGCTCGCGAACTTTACTTTCATCCTCAGAACGGTTCCGTAGTCAGCAGTTGGATCCTCTCCGGACGGTTGGGATTTTTCTAGGGATATCTGAGGTACTTTTTCCCCCTAAAAAGTCAACAGAGGTAGATGAACGTGCAGCTTAAATGATGCAGAGTATAGAGAGCTCGAGTACGGTGCTGGTCTCCTTATCCAGTTTGACAGGTGGATCACCGCGAACTTCATTCTTGGTGCCAAGTCGGGCAAGCGAAGTAACACTCGTTTACCTGCGTTTGATGTTTTGTTCAATTGGGCGGCAAGTGAAAGCTTTACTTTCCGAACTTCCTTAGGATCCGGCAGGAAATAGGTCGGGTCTTTCAGTGCGTTTACACTCGTCCCACTTTTCCTTCCGCAATTACCGACGCCGATTATTCCAGACCCTATTGAATTCTGGCCTCAGTTAATGAAGTTGATTAATTATGGTTGACAATTATAGTGTGACGGTGAAGGAGGAATCTAATCACCTAATATTCGCGATTGTATGTTTAGTGGAGTAAACCTACGTTGGCCGTTACTGACAATGGAAGTGAAAAGTTTTGCGTACATGAGGAAATTTTTAGCGCCCACTTGGAAAAATCAAGCCTGAGTGACTAATCTAAGCTACAGAATTCGAAAAATATTGCCACGTTCGTAAGGTAGAGTGCAGTCTAGTAAGTCAGTCGAAAGAGAATGACTGTATCCGAGATCGCCTTTTTTCGATGTACTGTTCACCAGGACAGTATGGAACTGTCCGCAGAATGATCGACTGAACAACATTTTGTAGGACCCTACAGTGAGGTTAAACCGAGTGATGACATGATCAAAGTAAACTTTCCAAACGATCATTTGAACAAGAAATCCACAAAACAGACTAAATACAAGCAGCCTCACTTTTTAGTGGGGTCTTCTGTAAGCTGTGTATAAGCACAGCTATCTAGAACCGAACACTTCAATATTTACTCCTGTTTCAGGTCAGGTAAACCGAAATCTACGCCAGCTGTAGTCCTTCGTGAGAAAGAACCAAAAAGAGCCGCCAGACTAATGCCTAAAAGCAAAGATTAAACCTCACAAGGCACATAGCCCCAGTCACGATGCATACGACTACCACCAAAAATATCGGTGGGCTCTTTTGGGCATTTAGTATTTCGATTTCACTGCAGCAGAAAATATGCCTTAGGTTCTGGCCAAGCTTCGGTAGCACGGTTGGGCGCTAGTTTTGGTATCGAAGATATTGCATGGCAGTCAAACATGCTTCACCAAGAATCAACGGAGAATGTTAAACCTGACGTTTTTTCCAAATTTCGCAGAACCCACAGCTGCACGTTTTTGGTAGGCCTTTTGAAATGACCTACTCGTGTACGTGGGTACAAGTTTTGATCAAAGATGGCATTCGTACAGCTTACTCAGGCGCTCAGGTACTTTGTAGTAATCGAGTAATTCGGTTCGCTACATAACTTGTTTGGCTTGTTGAGGAAGATAATAGGTAGAAAGTGTCGGAAGCAAACATTTGTGATGGATAAACTGACATACAGATTCGCTCGTCCAGACTTGTACTGGACTGTGACACCATGTTGTATTAAGTCCATGCACATAAGTATGTAACTTATAACACCTGCGTATTTTGGATATGGAAAGTCCGCCAACAGTTGATACATATCCATTGTATACCAGGCCTCGACACCGCCGAATATTTGACCTCTTTTTTATTTCAATAATAACTTCAACTTCATGCACCACACAAACTCCCTATCTGTCTCTGAAATCATGACGCAAGAAAGAGGGTTGCGCACACTATTCTGATGACCCATATTGGCAGTTTGACCAGCAGTCGTCTACAGAATGCTAGTGGTCACTTCAAAAAGTTAGCGCTACACTTTTGGAGCCATGTACATGCTATACGGAAAGTGTCCGCTAACTGGGTGGCTCAGGTAAGAATAAGCGATGCAAAAGTCACATCATTTCGAAAGGAGCGAGATCCTGGAAAGAAAATGAAACGTGGTCTGCTGAATAGCAACATACACATCCCTTGATTGGAGGTTCTGTTGTTTGGACTGCATGAGCAACATAAGGTGTACCTCGCGAGTCGGCTGGGGTATTAGAGATTTGAGCTGTGCAAGTGAGCTAACTTGATTTAGGTTGGACAGCACTGGTAACGTCCATTGCGCTTAACTTAGGTGAAATTAAGTCCCTTTGACTAGCAGTTTGTGTATTACTTGATTAACAATGATGAGGGGTACTCTCTTGTTCCATATATATATATATATATATAACAATCTAACCATCAGACATATTCCGGACGGAGGAGATGATCTCCACCGTTACTATCTAAACAGTATATTTGTTTAGCTTAACGGTCCAAAGTTTGACCTACGCGAGATATTTTTCGGCTACTTGGAAACAACTTGGCTATGCAACTGAAAACAATAGAGTCTCAAGTCTAGCATAAATCAGTGTGAGAGAAAGTCGTATACAGAGATCTGTGTCACGGATTTTCTTGATCTAAAATATATTACACACATTTATTCGGGCATGTGCTTAAGTGCGGAGGATCGCTAAGTTAGCAGAACTCACTGAAGACTTGCAGAATATAAATCTCTGGCTTTGTTGTTTCATGTTGTTACCGTAAGCGCGCCCATTCACCCAAGGCTTAATTAGGATGAAATCCATTTGACAAAGTTATCCACGCCATTTATGTAGTTTGTTTGAGTTATAGGATTGCTCACAACGTCGTATCCATCGCCCTATGCCTCAATAATTCCAAAGACTGAGTAAACCGGTCGTCGTAAGTCTGTGAGGAGTTGCGAACGCTCAGGAATATTAATATAACAAGACGGTGAAATAATGCTGATGAACAAGGTTTTGATAACTATTTAGTTGAAATTTCAGGCAAAGCTGTCTTGGCTTACGTTACTGAAATACGTACAGCAGACTAGCTGGTTTCATAAGGAGCAATCATCGTTAATGAAGCTCTGAACAAGGTTTTCTTGGCATGAAATTATATTGTTGTAGTCGGAACGCATTGTAATGCAGAAAAGAACATGTTAGAATTCAACCTGCTTCTGAAAATTTGTTCTAACATCTGACACTCACACCGAGAGATGCCGTAGGAGTAGATTTAGCTGCAGAGGTTACAGAAACCGATAGCGGGTCCTGACTGCCACCTTCCCAGGCCAGTGTCGCCCTCAGCAGTATGGATGTATCGGGTTTCAGAACATCTTCAGTACGAAGTTTGATCAGGGATGAAACGGACAACGAAGCGGCGGAACTTCCGTCAGAGTTGTGAACTGTGCCTAAGAACGTTTGGGCTTTCAGTACCAGATTGTCATCGCCAGAACGACTAAACGACGTGAGAAGCGGTGTCTGGGGGACAGTGAATCATACGAAAATTGAGGGTTATCGAAATCATTTTTGACGTAGGTTAACAGAAAATGAGGAATTCTTTAAAACCGAGGGATACTTGTACTTGCAAACTTCTAATTTAAGAATAATATGGAGTATTTGTTGCAATAACTTTATTTATTCGATGCATATTAACTTGGGAACTGTCAATAGGTGAATCGTTTTTGTTCCTTTTGTTTGCATCGGCGGACAACCTGAACAGAAATGAAGTGAGTCATTCGCGGACGCAGATATTTTGGTGATAACAAATTTGCCCTATTCCCTCCAAGTAGCAGACACTTCCAAAATGTGAGCGAACTTTTAGCTCGCGGCTTTATTCGGTTGAAATCCTACATACGAACATGAGGAATAAGGCCTTGGCCACAGCTGCTTTAGACACGTGTTCAAGCTATCTGGTTCAAATATCAGATGATTTCTATCGAATTGAGTTAATAAACATTTAGTCAGGTAGGTTGAGGACGATGAGCGCTCTACCCCGTGAGCGAGTACAAGTTCAGAAAAGAAATTTTCATTGGTTTGTAGCAGCCCTAGCTCGAAAAACTTCAACTTAAAGATTAAAAACTCACATTAATTGCTCTTTACCTCGGCCTATTATTTTCCTGACTAAAGCTATGAGTTTTCCCCCTCATTTTCCTTGTCAAAATTGTTCTGTGATCCTGTAATTGATACATTCCCGATAGGTGTTCATACATCATTTTGCCAAACGTTGTTACGGCTGTAATTTTTGTCTTAGTTTTCGGCAAAAATAGAAAGTTGGATTGGTTAAACAGACATGCTATCTCTTAGATCCCAGACACAGACCTACACAAAAACTATGACTCGTTGTTGACTTCACAATCATTACCAGCTCCGAATTACCGACATGCACGCGAAGAAAATCCGAACACTCACGGTCAGTCACATTCAGGCTCTTCTGCTATCTTGAACACAGTCTGTGGGATTGAGCCGGACGTCAGGCATATACTATTCAACTTTGACGTCATGTCTCTTCACAGTGATTGAGTTTCAGGTGGCGAGTGCTGATTCCAAATTGAAGGAGCTGGTATATAATATAGGGACGCATGAATGATGTAGTAGGAATGTATAACCTCCTACTGTCTACCAACTAGTTGGATTGGTCGGCTTGTTTCTGAGCGAACGGCCTAGTCCCACTCGCTCTTTTGATTACGGCTTTTGAAGCACTGATAAGCCTAACACAACTAAGTGTCCGAGTGATATTCCGGTTACCGGTACACTGATATCATTACGTTATTGATTAATTTTATCAGTAGTTCACTGGCACGTAAATCAGCGGATTCACATATACCCGTTTTAAGTTACCTCTCAGGAGGGCTGGCTCAATCGTGACAGATCCAACGATTCAGGCTATCGGCATCAAAGGGCAGCAGTCCCCCGGAGACATCCGCGGAAACAACAAGTGCTCACAGTCACAGTGTTACGGTAGTGAGAGCACAACGTCAATTATGACGTGTTACTGGAATTCAACTGATTCAAAACGATCGATCACCGGTACAGCACACGTTCACGTTTACTTTCAAGGATCTGTACGAAATGTATGATGTCATCCTAAATGAGCAAATAGGAGGTGAATTAACTGTGACCTGTGCATGCCTTGAAAGTACTTTGGGAATGAAACTAAACGAAACCAATGAGAAATCAAACTCCTCTTGACACCTACCCCAGAACGAAGACTGGCTATTTTAGAGTCCACGATAGTCATTGTGGCATGGCCCAACTCGGCTCCTGGTACATCTGTGACTTCCAGTGTGATAGAATACGACTGCTTGCTGCTCGCCGGAACACTCAGAGGAAAAGTAATGTTCACCAGTTTCTCAGTCGCAGCAGCATTTTCCACTGTAGGCGCGGTCATTTGTGCGATTGTCTGAAAAGCAGAGAACATTAGTTGGTAACGAACACATAATGCATTGAGATGTGTATTAAATAACCAGAAATGTTCATGCTAGAAGAAGGGAAACGTCCAAAACTCGCCAGCGTTACTTCCGTCTTGAGTTATGGTTTCCTTCAAAAGATTTCTGGTTCCAAGACAATGGTGAAGGATGCATTGTTTTTTACTATTACTTACAGCATAATGAAGAACTGATAACTAGAGTGACTTTGAAAGTCTTCAATTCACTATCATCTGTTTTGAGAACGAAGAAGGTAGCGAACAAAGCTTGTTTTCTGTGATTGTTCATCTTAGCTAACACATCACAAATTTATATGGTAGAAGAAATCACGTGAAAAAGGTTAAGATCGGGGCTACAAGCACTTTAGAGAAATAGAAATCAAAGGAAGGGGGCTTGGATGAAAGACAGGTCCATGGGTCACGGAATCAGGTTTGTTGGTTTGTTTGCATTATTCGAAGTTTATTCATATCATTTGACGTCAGTTTGCATGTGAAAAGCCAGGATGCTGTCGGGGCTTATATAATAGAAATCAAGGAAGGGGGCTTGGATGAAAGACAGGTCCATGGGTCACGGAATCAGGTTTGTTGGTTTGTTTGCATTATTCGAAGTTTATTCATATCATTTGACGTCAGTTTGCATGTGAAAAGCCAGGATGCTGTCGGGGCTTATATTCATGTGGCCACTGGCAGTGTTATAATTTATAACGAGACCTCCACGCATATTTATCTTATAGAAAGAAAACGATTGACTTTAACTCCTATTTCTCCAGTGTACCAGGTGTAATCGATTACCAGGATTTATCCGTTTACGCTAAAACAGAACACAAACAAGTGCTAACAAACGAAATTCTCTAAACGTCCGTGACTTTTGATGATGACAGTAGTCAGTCAGTCGAATTTTCGTGTCCTTCTGGCAATGTTCTGTGTCTCATGGTGACACTGATACTGATGCAGGAGCTGAAAACCAACAGTTATGAGGAAAACCGTACTATGGTCAGACTTTGTGAATTACGTGTTTTTTCCAGGTTATTACATTGACATGATATTCCCGGAATCAATGAAAAAACCAAACTTTTTGTTTAATTTCAGTCACCAAATTTTTGTGTTGACCACTTTCAACAAGGATCACTAAGTATCTTTTGAGTTAGTATAGATGTAACTGATAGTTTCTGGTTAAGCTTATCACAATCAACTGGAAAGCGCATAATTTCTAAGTTTATTAACTAAACACAACGATGTCCAACAGGCAATTCACCCCTTAAACGGGTTCTTCAAAATTATTGAACTAATGCTGTTTGCTAAATCTTGCAGCTTCAAAGTCAATTTTTTTTCTGCTTCCTTCCGTGCTACGGGATAACTAGAAGTTCCTCTCACGAATATGCATGCAACCCACAGAAGGGTACAGATCGGTTCTGTCTGTCGATACAACCCCTTGTCAGATCAGTGTCCTGCTTGGTCCAACGCAGTCAAACTGCCTGTGCCATACTTTCGTTGCACAGGTGCACAAAGCCTTCTTGGTATCTTGATTCACTTGCATTTGTAGCGGTTCCTTTGTGCTTGATTGACTTTTTGATCATATCCCTTAGTTCGACCTGTGCTATTACAGTAGAAACTTTCCGTCTATATCGTCTACCCTGCTACCACGCATCAGTTGCCTTCTTACGATACTGACCCAAATCATATCAAGTTGTTTTTAAGTTGTTTCCCAGACTTCAATGATCAGTCGCGTTTTCATGTTAGGCACAATACGATACAACAAATGAACTTGGAGTTCATGGAAAGATAGTGCATGGATCGGTCAGAATTCAGATAACTGGGCCACAACATCTGACTGACCAATTGGGTGGCATGAAGACAAGCCAAGATGCAGGGCAGGAGAAACACAATCGAGACAAATGGAATATGGTCAGAGAACTGATGAGGGAAAGATATCTAATGGAGAAACCGGATGCAAATGAGCCGAAACACAGGGAAAATAATCAAACGATCGCCAATTCAAAAGATCCGCTCACTGCTAATATTCTGTCCAGCCAAGTCGGTCCTCTGTGCTGGTCTCACATGGAGTTGTTGGCCGAAAATCTAGGAAACTTATGGTGCTGCATAGGAGGAATTCATAACTTCTGGGTTTTCAACAAGACATCGCATGATTGGCGATATGAACAATACACCATCCTTGTTACTCACCTCAGTGAAGTCTGCAGGTTTTGTCGTAGTGATGACTGAATCACACGTGCGAATAACAGATAGTCCATTTGGTAGATAGCTGTAGATACTAACTGACATCCTGGTCGCTGCAAACGGGGAAACTTGCACGTAGGCCATGATCTTGATTCCCCTGTTGGCATCCGAATTACGAGTGTCGGAAGCATCTTGAACGCACATAAGAAATAAGAGTAAAACGGGTTCCAATGGGACTCTCCGTCGCACTCAAGTTAACCAACAATGTGCTATGAAATTAGGAAGACTGCGGCGAATATGCACTCACGCAAGACCACCTGCCTTTGATTCCGTCTTTGCACACAAAATAGTTTGAAAAGTGCTTGCACGACATGTCTTTAGCATGCCAAATTTCGACTGTCGTTTTGTTTGTTTACCTCAATACCGATGATCACTGCTGAGCGAACCATGACAAACATTACACAACCACAGATGCAAAAATATTGTAGAGACAAAGGACAGTTCTTTTTCACTTGAATGGACCTACTTCGAAAACCCTCCCAGATTTGATCTTCTTGAAGTTTACTGAGTAGACTTAGTCCTCAGGCGCAACTCGAACTTGTGTTCTCGTTGTACACCAACCTGTACACAACTAGCGAAATACACTGAGTTAGTCTTAGAAGAAGACGCGGTTCAATTTAGAGTTAGATGCAGTTAGCTACCTGCTATTCACTGGAAAAAAAAGCTTGACGAACTGTGCGTATATGACAAAGCTCCAGGAGGAAAAAACCGGAAACAAGCTGTCGAATGGTTTTCGGTGACTAAATATAAGTAGTGAAGTGTAGACGTAATACACTAATCATAGGGTTGCCGAAAATTCATCGACAGTCCACGATGGGTTTCACCCTTCTTGGGGCTCATGAGATAGGCACAGTCCCCAAGTTTCCGTCAAGCTCATGTTCTACTTAAACCTCAATTGCAATAAATTAGCAAAATACAGTTATCCGCAGATGCAAACCGAATAAGTGGCTCCAACTAAACGATGAGACGGTTTTTTGCGACACATCTACTCAAAGAATATCATGCATGAGAGATGCATTTACTTCCATCGTTAATATCGATGCAATTTGCAAATGATTGTACCTCTCCCGCTGATTCATAAATTTAGCGTGGAAATTCGAACTATTGCTGTGTTTTTTTGTTAGCTGAGCTTTCTCAAATCAAACCATATGCAAGACGGTTAATTTTGAAACATTTTGTAAAATTTCATGCCCCAATAAAGGGATAAGTTTATCAATATGCGTATGTACGTATTACATCTACATGCCAATTTTGAATGCATGTGACATCGCCTTAGAACTGGTCTGTCTGACCTGCTACAAATCTGCCGTGATCATTTTTGTGCGTCCTATTAATGTTAATTTCTGATGATTACAAATTAAATTCTTTCCACTTTGATGACTAGTCCATATTCCCTGCACCAACAATTGCTACACAGTTACTTTTCTAATACAAATGAGCTAGTTCACCTTCTTCAGAAAAAAAGCCGAAGGCACACGTCTCAATAGTCTTACGCCCAAGGGCAAGCGCTAAATGTCATTCTCATCAGCGTGCAGTGTGGAGACATTCTCGTTAATTTTCATATGCAACACCCACACCATGCATTCCGCCAGCACTACTCCCAAGCTTCATATTCTATTGGAAGGTTTTAGCAGTGCTACTTGTGAGTGCTTTGTACTTCTGCCATAGAAATGTGCTCGAGAATGAAGGTTCGATGCTCCTCCTTATTGTATTTAGCGCGCACTCCTCTGGTAAATTAACAAAAATCCAAAACTAGCTCTAACTAACCGGTTAGTTAGTTTGCCCCGATTGGAATACGGAGCCACCGGTATTTTGCAGATTATGTCCTAAATGAAGCGGTCATAATGATAAACTTGTGACGTACGGAGGAATGCAATTAAAATGGTTAATGCGAAAGGAATAACCACGGTGGTAAATGACAACATCCGAAAATTTTTCAATATTTATCGCTTTTCCTCTTTTGCAACACAAATAAGCTGAGTTACTGCCACTTCACTTTATGTCACATTTAAGTGACTCAAAAAATCAGTGTAATTCCTTCCACAATCCGGTAAATGGCAGGGTGATGTATATATACTTATGTCCGCCGTAAGGAATTTATAGATGACTAAGTGCGTTCAATATACAGACCGGCTAAGTTCTGCTATTTAGGATGGAAAATGTACAATGACTAATATGCTCCCTTCATTGTACGTTAGGTTTGGCGATATCCCAACGGAAAGTTAAAATATCTTAACCAACGTGGTAACTTTCGATGACTACATCGACCTCCTTTTTTCAGTGAAGTGAAACCACAGCGTGTCATAGGTGTTTGATTGCAGATGATTAGTCAGCTTTTGAAAATATCAGTCATCGAAACGCCTGTACTGAAAATAAATAACATTTTTAAGCGTAAGGGATTCAACCATGCTTCCTGGAACGTACATGAATTTTCCGCACCTGTAATGATGGTCTGAATGGTCTTTCCCAGAACCAGGCTATCTTGGACGTCGATGATACGCTTTTGAGTAGCCTGTAACGAGCTTCCAAAACCTGCTCCTGGTTGAAGCTCAACATGCTGAATGGAGACTGAGGGCGTGATACTGTTCACCTCAAACTAAAAATAAAATAATATGCACAATGGATGGCACAGTGTAATATTTCGCAATCAGCAGTGTGCAAGGTAAGGGTCGAATCTACCGCTCGAATTTAACATCTTTGGTGAGTAACAACCACTTTTGCACGCCAAATTGTGCATGATTGAGAACCTGACATTTTCAAGTGGCGCCGATTCCGCAAACCGTTTATGCTTTGCAAACAGCCTATTCCAACTATAAACGAGGATGCATATTCAAGAGAACACCTCCGTACGCTATCCCCATGGTGGGCAGTCACTCCGAACAGAATCCACGAGTTTCAAGGAACCAAGGACAATACAATGGTATATGGCCCTACTGGATATTTTTTCTCCGAACAGAATCCACGAGTTTCAAGGAACCAAGGGACAATACATGGTATATGGCCCTACTGGATATTTTTTCACTACTGAGGTTAAATTCAAGATTCTCATCCCTTTATTTCTTTTGAAAATTTATGATGCATTAATGTACTGGAATCATCGAATTTCTGAATTACAAGGCGTTGTGGACAGATATTTTTATCCTATGTACTTCTGAATTTATTTGCTATAACGTATAAATCAATAAGGTAAATGTACAGCTATCGGCGCAGAATTAATTACACCGTAATCACAAAAACAATTTTTCAGTGGTAATAAATTTTCCAGCCCGAGTTGCCCGAAGGAAGCACTATGTATTATATAATTTTAGGTTGCCCAAGCCTAGATAGATGTAGAAGTAGAGTTAAAAGCAAGGAGCTTCCGATAAGTAAGTTCGCGCCTTAACTACTGGACCATCTTTTGGTACTTGAGTCGAGCAGTGGAAAGTTAAACAACAGGGTCATTCTTCAAAATGTGGAAATCCCAGAAACAATTCTCTCCACCCACCATAAAAAGCATGAATTCAGTTGACCGAATACGGCTTAAAAGCGCAATAACCTTCTTGAAATAGTTAGCGCGAGTTCAGCTGTCCCTACGCATCTATCATTGCTACTGAGTCAGACCATGAGCATAAGGTAACGAAAAAGCGAACAGACTGAAACACCTCATAACAAGTAGTATATGCAGAGCTTGCTGTTAAAGTACTGTTTTTGAACTTTTTTTGTGGTAAGCTGCACAGAAATTTTGAGTATGGTTAGTAGAATAAGAAACTGCGCACACCAAATAATTCACATTCTTGGCTGTCAACCCCGAGAGATTTCCTCAATCCTGGTATACCGCTTCGGATCAAATCATAATCGGGGTGATGTGACGGGTCTGTGACTCAGTTTACTTCAAACGACTGCGCTTTCGACGCCGTGGGAATGAGGGTGTTAGATGTGTTCGCCGAGTGACTGTCGACCCTCACCCTATGGATACGTAAAGCTGCGCTTAGCGGAAGTCGACTGATGCTGGTAGGAAGTCTGATCTGATGCAAGCTGACTAAGTTCCTAGTTTAACGATCAGTGATACTTTAATTATCCGTCCATGTTCGGTACTGAGTGTAAGGCTGGCGCTTCCGAGGTCCCAAATGCTATCAGAAGAAAGTGTGGTAATAACTGTCTACATTTGCCTAAATTGGGCCTGAGGTGATCTAATCAACCTATGCCCATCGGCCCATCCCTCCAATTCAAACAGAGCTTACATGCATCTGAGGCTGCCTTGCCGTTAGCATGACGTGAGTTGCACATAATAACTGAATGTAATTAATGTCACTCATGGATTTTTCCACTCGATGCATTTGTTTTGAATGGGAGCAAGCGTCAGATGGGTTTTTGGAAAACCGTACAAGATGAGGCGTGGAATATAAGTTGCAATTCTCCTCTCAAAGACACTTTCAAAGACACCGCTCACTGAAAGTGACCACTTTTGTCTGGCCTCTTGAAGTCTTCAAAATATGGTAATGTCCTGAAGGAACCGACTTTCATCTCGGGCCCCGAATTAAGTTTCCAAACAACTTCCGACCAGAAACTACCACGAAAGAACCCAAAAATTAATCACATAACTAGTCTGATATGACCACCAATGAATAGCTGAAATGCTGTTTAGCTAACTAGTCGTCCAACCGTACGATGTACACGATAGATACCAAGCAATGAATTTTGAAATAATTAATTGCGGAAAGGTGCCTTGCTTGTATTCGGTTTGAGCCGAGAGTGTTCAGTGTAACTGATCACTTTACCCTGTACCAAGAAGCAGGTCTCCGATGCTAAGAAGGACTATTCTGGTATTGTATCTCAAAACGGCATCCTTTTCTCTGTGCATTCCCACCAAAATTCGTTTTTTGTCCAATACTAGGGATAAAATTTACTTATTCGGTCCTTACTAAGTGTGAGTACAACGTCTGACTGGATGTCCCGTATGTTCCCTAAAAAGCAAGAAATCCATTTGTGTACAGTTCCCTACAATCAGTCATCCTTATTAGAAACCCTGCCCACTGATCTTCTACTTCCTCGTAATTCAGAAAAGAAGTAATCAAAAGTTCTGTTTGAAGGATGAAATCAGGTCACATTGGCAATTGAGCACCTAACGAATACCTACGGTTTGTCTACTGTTACATTAATGAGGGCACGAGAGACTGAATAAGATCATTTGACTTACCGAATAGTTTCCTGAAGCAAACGGAAGTACAGTATCGATGGTCAGGGCAATCACATCACCAGGATGAACAGAAGCAGGACAGTTTGCTATTTCAATCTTATAGTCCAATGGTGGCGCTGTTCGAGCGTTCACAGCTCCAATCCACAACGTCTCACCCAACAAAGCACCTGCCCCTCCTGTTATCGTAGAAGCGTCCGGCAGGGAGCTATGATCACTCAAACCCATCTCGAATTCCAGAATGACCTGGAAATCTTCTGCCGACGAAGCTCCCTCCTCAACTTGAAGCGAGCCCAGATCCACGGCCATATGAGTTACCTATATTTGTATTTCCCAAAATATGTCATTCATGTTTATGTTTGTAATCGAAGAATGAAATATTTAGGTGTGGATGTATGAATTTTGCTCAATGGCAGTAGTTTTGTAATGAGGCGGAGGTATTGAGTTATTCCTAAAGCTACTCTTGAGAAAGTAGGTAGCGCTTTCCAAACAGATCTTTGAATTTACGACATCCAAGGTGATTCCTCAATAAAAGACCAATTCATCCTCTGTAAACGCCAATAACATGAGGTTTTCTCACCAACCGATGGCGTGGTTAACTAAACACAACAGCATATATGGGCATACACATATTGATTTTTAGCAAATGGAATTCCTTTCGTGGGGATAAATCCACCCTGAAAGACAAGTTTTTGTTGAACGGTTGGATGAATTATATCGAACATAATAGTCCATGATCATAGGGACACTCCAGCTTGGCGACCAAGTTTAGTAAACAAATGTGCACATTTGTGGTGCGGTTTCGTATTAGGGGAGAAATTTAAAAAATGGCACGAAAACTGACCAGTTAGTTCGTGCGATTCACCCGAATAGGATGCATGAGTGATTTTTCTCACCGGACGCAACGAATAAAGCACCAAGCTAATCCTTTAAATCATGCTCCTGAGTGTAGTCACTGACATTTAAAAAATTTGACATTGTTACCTGGAATCTTGTCGGCTAGGGACATCATCACAAATATCGGTTTAGAGGTTTGAGCTGGGTGCTAACAGTCGGTAGTGCTGTGGAAATGAAGGGAGAGGAATTACAGGTAACCATTTGTGGACCATTTGAGATGACACATCCATGCAAGCTCAGTTCAACAGCAATTGGGGATTTGTGATAAGCTCTGAGCATCGCAAACCTCACTTTGGGCCGTACTTTTCGATTACCGATGACAGCGATCTTTATTGGCACTAACCAGCGCACCTTGGAATGCCGTAATATACTGGAGGGCGACTACTACCATTTAATACAACCTGTCATCGCTGATTCCGGAGCCTTAACGTAACACACCTATATATTGCCGTACATCATCTGAATTTTACTTTATTGCGCGCGCTTAACCGCGGCACTGGAATAATTAATTCTGACGAAATTTCGCACCACATAATTGTTCGGATGACCAATACTCAAATCACGCATAACAATTCGCAGCTGGGAGAAAATCAAACCCTTCGGCGTATCATCAGTTGTGTGTGAGTGCTGGCGAAACATTGGCACTTCTAAAGCTGCGCTTCAAAATTCAATTTTTCGTCCATTAAGAGAACAAGTCTTAAATTCCGGGACTTGTGCATTATGTACCCAGCCATAGAATACGCAGAAATGGATCTTGCAATATTCCTGTGATTTACGTACCCAGTCGCTAATTCTAGGCAAGGAGGATGAAAGTGCCATGGGAAACAATCTTGAGGCCAGTGTTCAATGAAATTAGTGCTCAGGCCCAAGCACATTGCACTCCTTGAAATGTGAAGGAACACAGGCTCATAGTTGTCAACTTCTGCACGGGAATGCAAGCGTGCATGAAGACCTCCTGTTAACAGACTTGATCAGTGCCGCGTCCTCAGGTCTTAGAACATAGACTGTTATAAAAACAGATCGATAAGAACAGCCATTTTGCTGCTGGCACTCCAAGTTCTGCAGTGAGTTGAGGACACAGGTGAGTTACCGACTAATCGGTTCGTTCTTTTGGCACTTCTTCTTTAGGCACTCTACATTCTACTTTGCGTTAAATCGAAAGTCATCCCAACGGCATCATATATTAACGAATTAACACATGCTTCCGAAGATATGAAGCGGGTGAGGACATTCCCTGGGTAGATACGTTATCATCCCTTTCAGCAGTCTACCTTGATGGAAATGTTATTGAATGTTATTGAATGTTATTGAATGAATGTTATTGAATGTTATTCCAAACCCTGCAGGGTTTGGAATAATATTTGTCAATATTTGCCAGTGCAACTGTCTATCTCGAAACTGAAGAAATGTTTGTTATTTGCATCAAACTTTTAATTTCATCTTGCATATCGGGTTTGAAACGTCACCGAAATGGACATTATTTCATTCAAAAAGCGCACTTTGTTGCTAGTTTGAGGAGACTGAGGATTTTTAATTGAAATTTCACCCTCTTAAAATAGTAAGTCTGTTCTGAAGAGGCAAGAAGCACTGATTAGCAGCCTAAGTCCTATTTGTGACCTCCGAAAACTCTCTACTGTTTCAGGGAGTGCGCACTGACGATGTGTTTTAACACAAGTTAGATGGCTATGCAGTGCTTCTTGGTTTTTCAGCATGGTTGACCTCCATGTACGAACGAAATCCCAATTCAGCAAGACCATATGTTCCATACAATTCAAACTGACACCTCTCTGTAACGGCTTTTGAACAGCCAGCTCAGGGTAACCAGCAATGTGAAGCTCCACCATTTAACTGGTTATCTATGCGGAGCCTTTAACTAATGTTTCCGAGGTATTCAGAGTGGTACTGTACGGGTGGGGACAATGCGTGTTTGGTGTTAAATACAAAGCCTTGGTTAAATATTCTTACACGACTGGGTTGTTTACGAAGTAAAGAGTCAAACAACGAACGTAATATCACAGTATTTTTCAGTTAGGCAGTCTACAAATTCCTTGAATGAGGAAGCCAAGAAATAACCAAATTTGTGCTGATAAATCTGGCATTTTCCGAAAGGTCGAAATCCAACAAACTTTTATATTGTACGGTAGAAAAACTGCTGTTAGATTAGCAGGTATTATCATCATAACACAACCAAATATAACCTGACCACTCATTTGACGGTAACTATGCCACTAACTTAAGCTCCCACCCATCTTGTTTTTCTGACCTCAGTTCGGAAAAGCAGATATCCTATGAATGAATAGTTATCATGAATGGATACCTCTTCTTAAACTGTGTAAATTTTCTCATCATTCAAAACTTGTGATCCCGATTTCAAAAGCTGTACAACATCATGAAGTCTGCCGAAACTTGCACAGAGCATAAATTGTGCTGAGTACCAAAATGTCCATGATCACCAAAGCTGATGTTTTCTCTCAACTGATGACTATTTTCTCATAAACTGGAGATCCAAGAGGATGACAGAAATCATTTCCTTCCTCAGGGAACCTTTCTTCTAAAGAGGGATTCGGTCTTTTCAACCATGGACAGGTTCAAAGCATTCAAGTCAGTATATCCATTGCTGATTTCCTTATACACTAGTCGTTTATGAATCGGGAACTACTACTAACTGCAACGTGCGTTTACTTTTCAATAACGATGTAAAAAAAGGTACCTCCCATGGATGTGCCACTACCCCGTAGGGGTGAATACCACATGATACGCGCAAGTTGGCAATATATTTCTCTCAGGTTGTTTGCTATTGTTTGCAATATTTGTCATAATCTGTAGGTGTTCTTTGTCATGAACCCTAGTAAAATCATGTTTTCTTGTTCTAGGTTTTAATAAGATTGAGACGGTATTTGTTGCAATATAAAATTCTTCCTTGTATTCCTTAGAAACGATTTTGTTATCTGAATCAGCCACTCAATCGGGTAGTCATCTTTCTCTAATACTTCAAAGACTGCAAAGAGTACTCTGCCTGTTTTATGAATCGCTTTACCGATAGTTACTCCACTGGTTCAATTATTACAACGTTTTTCACACTCTACTGAGAGTTTCCAAATGAAACATCGTGAGCATGATAAACATGACTTAGTGAATGGCGGTTGTTACAGAGTTCTAGGTATATTAAGCGATTTCTCCAAATGTTTGTCAAGGACAGTTTTGCTGGTGAACAAGGACTTCAGCAAATCAACAGGTGCTGTTCCTCTTTAGGACTTCAGGTTCTAAAGAACAGTTAGACGTACGTTTACTACGCACAAACTGAAAAATGCGGATGAATAGGCCTTTGAGACCTGGCAACTTTCCAGGTAAATAGATTAGATATAAATGCGTTTGGTCCTTTCTCTTACAGAACACAGATAGGTTAATCACAAAATTCAGTAACGTCTGTCTAATAAAACTGGTTGCTCTTTACTGAACGACCTAAGTGCCTGCTTTTGAAGCAGGTAATCAGAGTTAAGGCCGAATCTAGCTCACTCTGGGGCCCGATGAAGAGGCGAATTGAGCCTAGCGAAGAGGCAAAACTGGAGTAAAGTACTGAATAAAAACACTCCTGTGATCTGCAGTAATTACTTTTCATGCAAACTGATGCAAACCTGCTTGTTGCTAGCTTGTTTTAATTTCCAGCATCTAACCAAAGGATTTGTTAGTTCGTCTCGGGGTGAAGAAACATTACTGAAAAGTAATAGTAACAAAGTGTTGCTAAACTTTGACTTCTCCTTTAGGGCTGAAGGCGTTTAAACTCGTGACGGCTGTTAACTGGTGTAAAAAAATTACTCGAATGTTAACACAGAAATTTTGATGAATAATCCTTTTTCGACTGCTGCTGTGTTGGGGTCAAAACCAATGCACTGACGCTCACACGGTGGGCTTCGAGCGTTTTTTTTATTTTTCAATGAATAAAGCTATTCAGGACCATATGTACAAAGAACTCTGCTTTTGTTCTAGTGAATACGCTGTAGGCTTTTGCACCAAAACAGTTTTTTTACCACAAATTGTACTAGTGACCTACTTTCATACAGTCACCGGATACCTCAGAAAGCCCAGTGGGTATGATTTTCCCATCTTAACAAACAGAAACTTGAGCCACCAGAGACAAGCTATTTGACCGTGTTAATGCAATGGCAAGGAGATTTCCCCAATATCCTTGTCTAAGCTAACCTAATGAAATGCTACAACCATTGCCGTCCAAAATGAAAATGGACAAATATATGCGGTTGGTTAGTGAAATAAAAGGAAAACTTACTCCCATCTCAAGGATGTTGTTTATCGTGCTGGTAGAAACGGAAATAGGCGACCTGATCTTGGACCCCTGACGTACAAGCCTAACTTTCCGGACGTAGCCTTGTGGAGCTGATTCATCTGAGAACGCGAAAAGTTCCACGGTGGGTTGATGATTGCCAGTAGGCAGACCCAAAACAAGTTTTACCTTCCAAAAGCATCCGCGACACAAATCCATTGATTCGAGGTCAGTCAATTTTTCCATCGAAAACGTGAGTTCTGTTGGAGGGTTATCAGCCTAATAAGTATAAATGCGAAAAATCTGTTAAGCAAATGTGACAAACGATTTTTTGCTTGGCTGTCACTAGTGATGAATCGGACTTTGAGGACAACGGGAAATATCGTCTTCATAAAGGTCATCACTCACAAGGTTTCCGAAGACTTTTCGACAGTCCACGACAGTTCCACCCCCTGTGGGGATCATTATGTAGGCGGAGTCCCCGAGTTTCAGTCAACCTTATGTTCCACTTGAACCCAGATTGGACAGATTTCGAAAAAACACTCGCACACAAAGGGCTTCAGTTGAGTCTTTGGTGTAAATAAATTATTAGGCAACTGCGCGCATTTGAGGAAATATCGTTTCAAAAAATACGCTCATTTGCAAACACTTTGGTTCAAACGACATGTTAAGTAAATTACAGCTAGATCTCTCGTTAACGGTAATGTCCGACAAACTGTGTCCAGTTTGAGTCCAAGTGAACCTTATAGTTGACTGAAACCTACGTATAGCCCTGAGAAGTCGGAAAACTTGTGTGCTGTCGGAGAGATTTCAGCCATCTTATGAGTAGTGTTCCGTCAAGAAATATTATTTCTCAAACTGTTTGGAAAGTAACAAATCTTTTATAACAAGCAACACGCATAACTTCATCAGTTTTCTCGCCCCTTGTTGCTTCAGTGACAACTCCTGTGAAACATATGATAAACATTCAGTAGAACACGCGGATGAAGCCGACAAGATCATCGGTTTTCAAATGAGCACTCAAAAGTGAATTTCTATGAAATCTGTCAAGTTAGTATCATGACTTTGTATTGGGATTTTCAAAACTGAATTAGTGCTTATCTTTGTAATGTACTACTCATAAGGTTGCTGAAAATCCGCCTGAGAACATCACAAACGATAGATTCGGCTGGGTTCCATGTGAGTCTCTCGAAAAAACAAATTATTTTGCATATGAGTGTATATTCGTGAATTAGTGCTTCTTCTCAGAGAGAATGCCTTTCTGATTTATAGCACTGCAGAAGTCGATCGCAAAATTGACGGCTCTGTATGTAGATGCCACAAAAGTGTGTAATGTGATGTTTCCTAAAATGCATGAATTTCCCACGACGAAATACGAAAAGGCATTGGTTCCAACTCGTAGGGCATCAAGTGGGCCCATATATCGATCGATGCGTTTCCGCTCGTTACTTGCAGTGGTGATAAGTGACGAGATTATTTAGTTTTCGTGGCAGGGGTTTTCGTACTTTTCTTCTGCAACCTACCGATTCAACTTCTACGGCATGGATAAGTCTTTCACCCCTCATGATCCGTTTCCCGCAATTTCCCGCCAGAGGTAGCTTGATATGAACATCTTTGGCCTTATACAGCCATATTGCATGTGGTAACATGATGGGACTTGCGGTTTCATTGATCAAGCCATGAAAAACTATTGAAGGCGGTTCCGTATCCACTACAAATCAGTACCACAACACAGCCTACGGACTACGTTCTGAAAATGGTGGTAAACCCTTCCTTCGTAGTGAAAAATGGTTGGGTGATCTGAATGAACTATTCATTAGAGTGATGAACGCCTTGGAGTCACTCACTGTCATCAATACAATGCAGTACACAAAACAATGGCGTCGCAAAAGAGGAGTACATTAGTGGCAACTACAAGTGACTAATACAGTTTTGATGACAGCAAAACACAGGGAAAATTGCGGGTTACAATATCTAGCTGTCTCACTCTGCTATATGGTGTTTATTAACACAGTTTTGACCGCGGTGTCACAGTACAGTCCATTTAAAATTGTGTAAATCTCTTAATCAAAAACTGTTATGTGTGACAAGTTATGCTTAAATCGTCTCTAGCGAGGTAACCGCACTCCTCTTGGTAGAAAATGAGGCCTAATGATCCCTATTTCAAGGCGGATAGTAATGCGTTTCACCAGGAGATGTTACTATTTATCAAAAAACAGTATAGTGCTATATGTACCGTAAGCTCAAAAACAGTTTTTCAACATCGCTTTTTGTTTTATACATGGTTACAGCAAGAAACTTTTAGTCTCCTTCAATGGAGCAGAGGTTGCTAGGATCCACAGACTAACCTTTTATTCATGCTGGTGGACAGATACCACGCAGAGGTACCATTACTTAGTATAAACCATTTTAATAAGTACAACTCATTCAGTCTGCAGTTGGGATCATCAATGTCACTTTACTGAGCAGCCCACATGAAATACTACCACAGCCTGCACATCGAACTGCAGGCTGTTGTCAATAGGTCGGGAAAAATTAAAAGCCCCATGTTATTGAACAGGAGTGAAATTTTACTCATCAATTTCTGCGTTACCCTTACAGTGGATGATGGATTATACGGTGGATTGTGAGAAATCTCGATGTTCTCTTGCACTGTGTTCTATTCAGGATTCCGAGTTTCATTTTGAAGTGGACTATCGTGGAGAAGCGATAGGTGCATACATAATCCAAGCAGAATGCATGGATCAACAACCGACCGACAAATGTCTTGAGATATGTGTCTGAACCTCAGCCCCATCTCTTCTAATCACATCACCAGGGACATTGGGTGCGAAGTAAACCAAAGTATACGAGCACCTTCGACCTAACCTAAAAACAGCTTACTACGTAAAACTTTTAGATCAAAGCGATGTCAAAACTTGTGTTTTATTTCCCGAACTTACGGAATCTAAGCAAGTATGTTTATGAAAATCGAAAAAACTCAATATAAACCGTAAAAAATTCGAGAGAATTAGCTGTTGCCGCTGTTCCATGAGTCACACTGTTAAATTACTTCCTAATGGCTCAAATGTGTGACGACAAACACACACGTGGAACGAAATCATATCATCCCACAAAAATTATCAAAACATCTCAAACGTTTATTATGCAAAATGATGGCCGATATTAGAGAAGAAAAATAATAGGTCCTCAGTGGTTCAGCCTCTGTAGTCATGGTAACTGTAGGGAGGAATGCGTTCTGGTACAAAATGAGTGATCATTCGATCCGGGTTAGGGCTTGTCTGTAGACTCCCTCCCCGGGGACATTTCAGATATGATTTTACTGCGTTTGGCCACAGCCGGTGATAAACCGTCCAAATCCAGAATTATTGATGTGTGATTTTGAATCTGTACCACAGAATGTTCAAAAGTTGCAAATGCTGTGTTATTTGCACTCGAGTGTCGTAGAAAAAACAACTATGGCATCGTCTTTGGCAAAAACCTTCAATTTGCAACCCGTTCACTGTTGAGTTCTCCGTAAGTCAATTTGCTGCATGCTTTCCCATTGTAGCGATCACTTGACCATGCGTATGAGTCATCAGTCCGGAACGCTGACTAATTCAATGCAGGCAAATGGATATTCCTAACTCAGCTTGGAAGTGAAAGACGGACGGTCCCCATTAGTTATATGGGAAGTGACGGAAAATCCTGTGTATCCGGCTTTCGACTCGATATATGGATATAGCAGGATCTATTTGATATCACTTTGATAAAAGTCACCATATCATTTGCTATGGGTTTTGTCTTTATCTGTCCCGCCCCATCAGGATTGTCAGAAGTGTCAATGTCAACAAAGCTTCCGAGCAAGTTGACTGCGTGGATGAAAAAAGTCATTTCAATCCATGAAAAAATGAAGCTGGCTGCTGCGTAGTGTTCCGAGTTAGAGTGTGGAATTCGAATCCGAACATTTGGTGATCGAAATCTGACAAACTTCTATGATGCTGTATCAGTTTTATGACATCCTTCCGGATTAGAAATACTCATCCCAAATACGAGCATTTCTGCCTCTACTATCTATCGTATAATCTTGGGGTCCATCGTTTGATAGTCACCAAATGCTTTGCAAAGATCATGAAGTTTTAGGAACGTCTACTGGACTGTTTGGCAGCCGTCGGAATTCTTGCGAGCTCGGAAGGACCAGACCATCTTTCACAGGCAAACACAGATTCTGCAGGAGAAGCAAACCCAAAAACCATATTTAAGAGACTTACCGATCGTTTCGATCGTCGAAGTGACTCCTCACCATCACCCGACTCCTGATGAACAATAAGTTCTACTGTTGTCCAGCTCGCATCGTGTGTCGTTTGCCCCGGATATTGCGCTGTTACATTAAATTCATAGGTTTTTGGCCATAAGTTAAAGGTAGACCAGTCAGTAATTATGATTTCTCCCGTCTCTCGACCAATCTCGATAGGGATGGAAGAACCTTCCACTGAAGCATAGTAGTTCACTACACCACAGCGTCCCGTCGGATCGTCTAAGTTTTCAGCCTCAACTGTACCGACCAAAGATTTCACATTTTCTGGCGATGGTGACTTGAGTTCAAATACATAGCTAGTCCTTCGAAATTCCGGTCTATGGTTGCCTGAAAGTAAACAAATTAAAAGTGCGATATAATCACATGCTCATCAGCCGCTCGTGGCCAAACAGCCAAGTGTTTCACAACTAACAGTGAGTCGTGGGTGCAGAACGAACTTTTTCATTTCTGATGACTGCAAATGAAAATGAAATAGCTATACAGCGCTTCTCGGCCCTTCAACATAGATTGGTTTCACTTACGGGGAGAAATGCCAATTGAAAATCCACAAATGTCCTCAAACCACCAACACATCAAACGTATGTCGTTTAGACATATTCTGGTTTCACAGGTGCCCGCATCACATTTTAAACATAACATAACTACTACGAGTACAAGCTTGAAATGCGATTGCGGCAGTAGAAACAGAGCATCTTGATCTATAATGATGCTACAATGCTCGCACGGTACTTTCCTGAAATGGTCTTTGATAAACCAATTCCACGAGGTCACTGGTTGTCAACAGCTTGCCCTTAACTTGCAAATTATTATTAGCTTGTTAGTCGTAACTTCTGGGATAATCTTAATCTCCTTTTGCATTCTCCAACGTCTAAATGCTGTGACAGCACGAACCACAGTCCACCTCCCCACATGTCTGAATTATTTAAACAAGCGAAATGAAGTAAACTGACTACTTCAAAGTAAGCAACAGTCTATCCCCCGCGGCTTGTATATTGTGTTGAAGACGGAGCTGTTACGGATTTGGGAAACACAGTGTACAAAATGTTTCCTCCAGGCGATAGGCAAACCGATTTAGATTGACGGTATAAGCACATCGAAAGTGTAAATTTAACAGTGATCAGCCATGAGCCTCTTGTATTTGGGATGCTTGTTAGATGAACAAACCTGGGCGAGTTAAAACTGGAAATACTTTGTATATTCAGTTTTTGTAAACTTCACTTAAAGATGTCGTTCATTGTTCCACTAATTTGTCTGCATGTTGTTCAAAAGTGTCTACTTTGAAGTCCTACCAGATTATCCGCTGACTCCAATTACATTAACCAGCACTAAGATCAGCATCAGGTGACCGTTGTGAAGGTTTCACTAGCCAACGTACTCTCTTTACAAGTATAATATTATTGTTATTCTCATTCTCAAACCCCAGTATTTTGAGCCATATGTTTATCTCTGTGAAACAGGTACAGTTGTTCTTTTGCGTAATGTAGACTTTGGAATCATGTTTTGGAACACTTTACTGATAGACGGAGCCGGTTCACTTCCTGCTCTAATTTCCTGACCATTCTGACGACACCGTCTTAGATTACATGTCCCATAGATGGTATTGTGTCGTATCTTGGTTGAAACCTGCAGGATGAATTTGATTAGGCGGAAATAAATGCGACACATGTGATATTTGTATTCACACACACCTGCATCTCGTATTAGCTGCTGGAATTTAAACGCAGACACGACCAAAATGATGCGCTGTAAATGAACCATAGTAAGGGTGAAACATTAGCCTGATGCTACATCCCTTGAGTGTCAACCCGTTGAAATGACTGTGCCGGAACGAGGCTTAAAATTTCAAAGCATCAATAACGTGAATTCAAGTTTCTGTTCGACTTTTCTGCTTGATTTCGCGGACCTTTGATCTCAGTGGCGTTCAGCTGAAGTCCACTTCTGAGTATCTTTTCTTTTTCTTAATGAAAATAACATAAATGTTGCTAGTTTCGTATGGAAACCAGGATAGCTGAATTACGGAATTACTGTTGAATTGCGGACAATAAGTGAACAGTGATTTGAGGAATAATCTGACAGCGAACTGGTTTGTAGGCATGTTACGGAGGTGAAAAGGTTTCGCAGGAATAGTATGATGCCATTGCAACTGATTTGACTGAGTGAAGCAAAGTCGATAAACACGAAACCACCGACTGGCTTACTAGAACTGTCGCAACTTTCCTTCTTGTCGCACCTAGGAAGGGAATAAAATAAATAAGGGAGATTTAAACGGATTTGAAGCAAAATTACTTTTTTTCAGCCAAACATGTCACAGATATGGTTGGATCTTTCAGTAAACAGTGCTCGTTGAGAAAATATATAATGGTCTGAATTTCCCAACAGATGATGATCCAGTGATAAGCACTTGTAGAAAATAGCCTGCCTACGCGTAGATTCGTTTGTTCACACTTTCTGGTGTCGTCGGAAAGACAAAAAGTGAACCAAATGTTGGGATTCCAGTCGTATTCACAGTGCTCCACAGAACCAAGATGGGGCAAGTGAAAACTACTGCTTCTTCAGACAATTTTGATAGTATCAGGCATGTATTACAGCACACTGAAAAATACGGCAAACAGCTACCATCACCTTAAAGGTGGATTGTGTTTTGATGAAATTTGTAAAAATCACAGGTTGTGGGGTCATAAGTAATAACACAATCAAACGGAGGGTTTACTTTTTTCTTCTTTCGGTAGGAGAACTATCATAACAAACTGTTGACTAAGTACGTGTATTGTGTTTTGTCGAATTTAGGACTGGTCTCACGAGCTTCAACCAAAGCAGGGCAAAGTACACTCAGCTATTACGTCGGGAAATGTCACAATTAACTGTGGAACTGTTCCGGAAATATGTTAGTAGGAAACTGTCGGTTTGTTTTCATTTTTACCAGATGAATACCTCATTCTCTCAGTGTTAGAACTCCGGATGCTAGAAAACCATGATGTATGCTGGAAAAAACCCAACACCAGCAGTCATAAGACGGAGTGATAATCTTCGGAAACAAGGTGGTTCGACTAACCATCCACGAATCAAACTACATCCCCAGATTTAAAAGACACTACTTTGGACCGAAACTAGTAAAAACACAAATTTGCTTGTACCTGTTTCGTACTCAGGTATACCAAGACTGATGACATTATCCTTTTGGAAAGGAAATTGGACCCCATGCATAAAAAGAGTGGTTAGCCCTGATATCTTACTAAAGCAATACCCCCTTGTCCAGGTTGTCGTTCCAAATGAAGTCTGTGGCGGACTTTTCGCACCACATCTAGTTGGACAGTATCGTAATTGAGACCGTTTTTGACACTATTAAAATCCTTTGGTGATCGCTCATCACTACACGGTGATTTACGTCAGTTCGCGCAAGTGAACTCAGACGAGATAGCGTCCTTTCGGGATTCATCACAGGAGTGATAGAAGCTTCCTTTTTTGGGGGCAAAAATAACAGCAAAAATGGTGTCAGTCGCGTTAAGTGGAGTTCTGATAGTTACCGCAAAATGCCATGATAATTCTAACGCATGCAAATGTGAAGTGTCATTACCTTGCTTCAGATGTTCCCGTTTTCAATGACATTGGGTGGATTGTACGGATATTTACAAACGTGTCCAGTACTGCTCAGTACTGCATAAAAAAGAATATCTAGACAGGTTTGAATCTTCACACGAATAAATCCAATGGCATTGACTAATTCATGCACATCCAAAAACGTAAACTAAGAGTTTGTACATTGGATATCGCTCCGAGCAATCCAACTCTGTTGCTTTCTCAAGACAGCTCAATAGGCGCGATAAACCCAGATGAGCAGGACTTACTGTTCCTCTAAGCACCTGTCTTAGGAAAGTTGCTATATCAGGTGCAAACAATTTTAGGGTCATGATATTTAATAGTCTTATGAGGGCACTTACTTTGAGGTACTCCGTTACAGGCCACTTATTCGCAAAACACAAGACAGAGTTGTGTGAGCACTTTTTTTGGAATTGCGATGTAATCTCAAAAAAGGCTACACTAAACAGGACCTTAGCAGAGAACATTTCACACTTTTTCACGAGAGATTATTTGCTGGAATGACGGACGGTGGAATCTACCTTATCAAAGGTTCCTTAGATATCCACAAATCCTAGTTTGAATAGCTGTTTCAAAATGTGCAAAATATGGGGAGACAGGCCGATGCATCAGATAATTCCGATTGCTTAAAACTTCGTGAAAGATGGTCTTAAGTGAAAATCAGGGAATACATTCTTACAACTCAGCTATTCATTAGCCTGCACGTGAGGAATAGCAAAGAAGGCTTCCCCTAGCACACTGCTATTCTTCGCTCAATCGATACGCTACTGGTGCACCGGATGCTAGCAGAGCTTGAATACATATCTAAAACTTTTAAGGTCTCCCTTGTGTGTCGTTTTATGCCCAGTGTCATACATGCGCATCTGACTGTGATCAGTAAGCGACCCACAGTTTGGACAGTATACAGCTCGCAGAAAATGAGATGTAAGAAGTTACAAATATTTTAATGGCACCGGTTTACAAGCAATCGAGAAAAAACAATAAATGATTTTCTCAGATACTACTCATCTGGTCAAGTTACTGAAGAAACCCGCCTCGAGTCAACAAACAGAATTCATGATGAATGTTAGTGGAAGTCAGAAGCAGGTACATGCCCTATTTATTTAGGGGCTGAATTTAGAGGGACCATTTTTCGCGAGCTTTTCACATTTTCTGTTCACTCCACACTATTTGATGCATTGATGTGTGGGTGTGTACAGCCCTTCAAAGAAATGCCGTCTCTAAGGGTGACTGTCCCTCGGAGCCGCCAACCTTATAAAATTCATTCCATAATGAATCTTTTTCTATTTTTGTTCAGGTAACAACTGTATTTTTTGTGTATACCCTATCCAAAACGTGATACAGATCAAATCTGTCCTGGTTCTTTTATTTTTGGTTGCCTTGTGTAATACTCTTCGTTCAAGCGTGATGGTACGTAGAATAAACAAAGAACTAGACTTGCCGTGGCCCATCAGGTACCTTGCCGTTTATCAGAGGGCTCAGACCGTTGTCTGTCGAGTAGCGGTTAGATGCGATTCTTGAAATAATGGAATTACTGCAATACCGAAAGGGCAATAGCTCCAAGAAGCCTAAACTCTCATACCTTACTTATAACCGAATGCTGTGCAACCACAAGAGTGGTACCACGGTAAATTTAAAAAAAAACGATCACAGCGTTTTACGTACATTAACACTTACCCGCTATCAACACATTTGGCTTGAGGTTGTTGGGGTATTACAGGGAGGGATAAATCAGATCTGACTGAAACAATGTAGCATAATTTGTGTGTGAAGAGGACATACCCAAATGCTGTAGGATACAGCCGAATATGAGCCATATTATCACTGAATAAGCATTGAAGGCCATTGAAGGACGAGGACTTGGGTGTTTTGGCCAGTTTTGCACATTTATGTATCACCCTGTTTAATTGTTATTTCGTGCTGTTAAGCTATTGGCTAACCCCCGAAAATTCATCCGGTAGGTTGCCATAGCTACGAATGATGGTGAAAACATTGTGTTCAGCCAACCCATTTGTGAACAGACAGTGTTGTGGAATTTCGTTTCGTGAGTCCAGTGTGACAGCGATCTCACTCGTATGTTTCAAATTACAGGGAGAATAATATCCGCCAGTTTTCCTATCCAGACAATCTCAAAAACAAATGAAAAATTTTGAAAACAACAACGATCTTGTTTCCCTCTCCTGCTGTCCTTGAATTCTCAAAAATAAGGGCGATTTCTGAAAAACAACTCTGGTGTACTTGGTTGAAAATTTGTTGATCTTTTGCTACTTCAAGATGAAATTGGGACGATAACCACCGTCTTATTATGAGAAAAAAGTTGTCCTTCACAAAAAAGAATATCACATCGAGTTGATGAAGCAATTTCCTTTACGTCTGTCTTTGTTGACCATTGAAGGGGTAGGCAGGAATAACCAAAGTACTGCACTCCACCTCTTGGAAAAATTCCTTTCAGTTCTGGATTCGACGGTGAATAAACATTAATATGCATATCAAGGTCTGGGGCACGTTCGTGCGGCAGCTGGTAACTGGTAAAGATGCACTGTGTGACCTCTTGAGTTGAAGGTCTACCGCACCTCACCAGCCAATGTGTACTTCCAAAAGAGGTCCATTTGGGTATACCAAATCATCTCATACAATTGCCTTGATCGACCAGTCAAACCCAGTCTTCCATGGGTTTTCTCACTGTCATCTAAGTGCATTTGCTGTTAGCCTTCTCAGCGGTGGGACCCAGTGCGCTGAGCAAAGTTAGCAAACACGTCCTACGTACTTGTTTGGAAAAGTTCACTTGGTCCAAATACAGGTACAAATAGAACGGAAGACCGATTAAGCTCATCTGTACGAAACTTGGAGCGCAAAGTGAACGCCAAGCTCGTATTTTTAGCTTATATCACTAAAACATCCTCTAACGTTTTCAGCAAACATAGTGGTTTTACAGTAACCTGGTGTAGAATATGGTGGATCGACCACAGTTTATGCCGTGCAGTTAATATTCAAGTGTTATTTAACTTCACATGCATTAAAATTTTGGCACACCCATTCTTTAAGAAAGTGAGCTGGACGTAGCATAATTGGGAATAGCTACCAACAGTCGTCTATTGGCGGTAACCCGCCGCGGGGATATACTCTCTGTTAGTGATGTGTTCGTGACAATATACAGTTCATATTTCAACGTTTACCAGAATGTCAGCTGCAAGATTCGAAACTGAATTCAAGATTCCACGTGAAACTGTTTGAGGGTTGGACTGATCAGGGAGGTTAACAATGCAGTTAGGTTAAAGTAATCAGTAGAGGCTAATAAAATGAACCCAGTTGGTTCATTTTTCCGACTGCTGCCACCCGGGCCAAAGCCGGCTTTGGAAACATTGGAAAGGACCAAGACATAGCAAGATCGTAGCTGCACCCATATCACATGACCATAATGGTCTTTTCAACCATTGCCAAAAAGGAACGTAACCAAACTGCAGTAACCACTCAGTCCCACCTGATTTTCTGAGCAAACCTGGCCAAATGCTATTAGCCCGGAGGTCCTGCACTCAAATGTCCTTAGATATTGCTTGTATGCTGCTAATGCTGCTGGTATTTCCCAGCTAAATTGAAACATTTGTACGGCATTCCTTGGTTGTTAGCCTAGACCTGTTTCGCTTATAGGATGAAATCTCAACCGGTTTTTCTTATGCCTCATAGTGCTTTAAAAAACCGGAAATGCAATATACTACCGCTAATCAGAGTTGTATTAAATTTTTACCTAACGGTGACAGACAAATAGGTCTGCCTACAGACATTTTCACATGTAGGCTCAAAGTCGTGCTTACGATTTATCCAACTCCAATAGCAATTTTACCCTGTCAGTAAAGCCAACCTATGCTGAAAAACCGAGAAGCTGTTTCATCCTTATGGAGAATTATCAGAAGTAAGCATGTCATGAACCTCAGAAGGCATCCAGCCCGCTAACTTCTGGCGGTTGATTGGCCACTACTGAGTGGTATGTAGTGTGATTGGGTCTCAGTTAGACAGGACATAGCCCTATTTATCCTTCAATGAAGGAAAAATATATCAGCTGGCCACGTACCGACTGGCTGCTTGAATGACATTTTTAACTACAGAACTCGGTCTTCAGAAAACAGTATCAGCTTCTGAAAATCTGAAATTCGCCCGGATTTGTAAGTAGACAACAAGATTTCATCATAAATGAAATACTGTTTGGTTGACCTCCTAATGAGTTCACTGGTTTCAAAAGGACGAAGTAGAACGTTCAAGAATGCCTTGTCTCCAACATTAAAATTCAGGATTAACTACCGGTCCGAAGTGTTTTTAATTTCACGCAAGTTTTTCAACTACAAGTTTTCTATCAGCGAGTGGAAGAGCAGTGATCTGTCTGACACACAGATTGCTATCTAAATGCCTGGCCTGCAACATCGCCATCTAGCAGGGTTCTTCATAGATGAAACCCTAAATCGCATGAAAAATATCCGGCAAAGCAGATGACTTGGTCCGAAACGTTTCTCCTCAGAAAAAATGAGATATCTTCCAAGATCGATATTCTGCAGTGGTGAACATCTGTTTATCCGGGAAAGCTAGTTGCCAGTGCGTCAATGAAAGTACAAAAGGGTTGTGATGACCAGATGAACAGATTTCCGGCAGGAAAACATACTACAAGTAGCCAGTGGGCGCCCTCACGCACGGTCAGAATCTCTTGGAGGATATATTTTGTGACAACGATCTAGAGATTTCACTGCATATTGGTGGATTGTCCACTATACCTTCGTTCCTATGGATAGGTCACGCCTCTTGTTGCGCTATCATGTGCACTGAAAATGAAGAACTGCTGAACATCCATGAGTTCAACCAGGCCAACCGGGGAATGAATTACATTTTTTTCAGGTCCTTCTAGCAAGTGTTTTCGGTCAAACACAATAGTATGAGACGGGTTACACAACTTGGACTGCTTCTCCACGCATATTTCTAAATGGCATTGAGTTGTGAATTCACTAATAAATTGAAAATGTCATAATAAATTTTACGACTGTTGCTAACAAAGGCAAGAAAAAACGAGAAATTGATCCTTTGGTTAATCGGTAACGTTTGATAAACAGTAGTAGATTAGAGTCAAGTAGAATACCGAGCAAATTAGGTCATTTCATGAGGATGTTTACAAAAGAAAGGGGCCAGAGGATTACCGAGTACCAGCATCCAGCGATCGTCCTTGATGGTGATTCAACAATTATGCAAGTAAAACTTCCTGAAAATCAACTAAAATCATAAGAAAGTCTGAATAAGCCAGCCGTTTGTTTGAATCCAGTCTCGCACTGAATCCAAGTTCTCTAGCTGGTGGTGTCAATTCATAGATGATTGGCCCCTGCCTGAGAATTTTAAATAAATTACCAAGTACCCCGACCCTCCTTGTTTGCCTTTTGAACATCAATATTTAGGGGAGCCTACCCGTGGCTGGGTTTCTCACGATAACACCACATCCTAAGTGCAACACATGTTGGACCCGGAAGAACACCCTAAACGAGGGAATCAGCTGGGTTTCAGATGAGTTCTACATGGAAACCAAGTTGATTTGCTAATGAGAGTATTTGTTGAATTCCTGCAATGTGGGTTCAAGTAAGACGTAAGACTGACGGAAACTAGAAGACACCGACTACCTGATGAGACCCAAACAGCGCGGAACTGGTGGTGGGCCGTCAAAAGTCATCGTTGCCTTTTGTTCGTCATGTTTGCTGATCAGAGGACTTCGGACAAAACGATGGGTCAGACAGATTCGAACAAATTTCCACAATAAAGGCACATCATAATCCAGCTTCGCGGCTTTCTAGTTAACAGCTTATCTCCGAAGATCAATGATTATTCGCATGGGCTTTTATCGCTAACTGCCTAACGTTTTACGCCGGTGCGCTTAACCTATAACAAGCAGCAAAAAATGATGTAGAATCAATTAGTTCGTCGACCATTTCGAAGTCTCGGGTTCCATGACTTTACGGAGGTCAGATTGGTTGTCACCCCCGTTATGATAAACTGTGGTTAGGTTTCGGAAAATAAAAAAAAACATAGAGACATATGTGAGTCAGAGCAAACGTGGTTAGGCTAAACTATTGGCTTGTGTTATGAGGACACTGGATATCGCTAACAAAGGAGCATGACAGACGAATTTTGTCAAAATCAGGATAGATACTTGCGTTTTTGGATGTGTCGGAATATGAAGGGTGCAGCATGAAAGATTTTCTGGCAGGACTTTAACAACTAAACAGATAGTGAGCATCATTCCGATTCCAAAGAAAACCGATAGTTGGTAATCACATGTTTGAATGGCTTTGTGTCTTATTTTACGGCCATGGCGACGGAACCAGTCAGCTTCACCGATATTTCGAGCCTTCACTACACACGACCAGTCGTTCGTCGATGTCTGCACAGAGTGTGACCAATTTCTTATTCCAGTCAAAAGTTTGACACTGTACGCTGAAACCCGAATGTCTCATACCTGCCTTGATGGCACCGATACAATTTTTTAAACCCCAACCGAGGTTGCACTGTCAGCTTGAGAATGACAAAGCAGGGCTTTGTGTGAAGCCAAACCTTTGCTTCATCTTCACCAGGGTAGTTGCCGAAGACCTGAAACGTCGAAGCAAGGTTCCCTGACCACCGGGTGGCATACTGTGTTTGAGACGCCAAGTTTACAATCCAGTTAGTCTCACATCCATAATAAGAGGTACGCAGATAATACCCTAATCTACGCGGAATATTTAAACATACTGATTTTAGTTTCCCTCCAAAGGACAGTTTTGCTTTTGAAAGTGTCAAAAATTAATGCATCAAT